CACTTCTGTTATTAGCCACCTCTTGCCAATAAACCTGCCGATCGACTGCTTCTTTCTACATCCTGCCTTGCTCTGGTTGTCCATGTGAATCATGGTCTACCAATTGTCTCTATACTATAGGGTTTTCTTGATAATCTGTTATGAAGGTTCTGTTAAAAAAATATATGTTCTATCCCTTTATCGTGGCTATATGCTGATCCAGCGTGCAGATAGTTAATAACGTTGTCTTCTTCAAAACATCATCGTCTTGATCTGAAGAAAAGAAAATCGCCACTCGATCAAGCCAATTTCAAAGGTAGTAGGGTAGAGCGCTACTTCGCCGTAATCGCCCATTTCCGTTCTATTGATCAGAAAAGATCAATAATATTCCGAAGCGTTAGTTCATCAGCTACAACATTAATCCTATTAGAGCGCGTTGTATGAATATTTACGCTCATTGTTCTCAAAACAAAAGAAGCGCTCCTAGCGAATCCCCTTTTTCCACGTTTATACGTAGGACAAAGAAATCTAATGGCGTTTCAATGCGTAAGGACGGAATTGAACCTCGTAGAACGAAATTCAAATCAAGAAGCAGTATTAAATTTTAAACCATATCTCAACAATTTGTGACTCTTTATGAAATCCAACGAAACGTATGGAAAGGAGAATAAATTTAGAAGTCATCTTTGACAGAAATATTCCATTTAATGTTTAAATTCGTTCAGAAAAGAGAGATAAAGCGCAGGTTGTGCTTAGTAGGACGGAAATAAGACCAAAACCCCTACCTGTGTGATGCCACACTCCAAAAATTTTGAACCAAATAAATAAATAAATAAAAAACTTTTTGCAACCAATAAACTCAATTATTTAGAAAAACAATTTATAGGTAAACTCACAGTATGAACTACACAATTATTTAATTTTTGCTAGTACCTAGTAGGTAGTTAAATTCCAACAAACTTTTGGTCCGCTACATCACAACTGGCATTACTAGTGTGCATCTTTTAAAATGGAAATATACAGACAAGCAAGCCCTGGGACCTGATTGCAGTTAAGCAATCCTCATGTTTATGCCAATGCTTAGAGATATTTGGTTCATGAGATATGTTATGGATTTTTAAAGTATGTGATATTCGGAAAAATCAGAAAAGTTCAACTAAAATTTTCAATTCTCACCCCAAATTTGTTTTATTTATGTTTTGTTCATATAAATATAAACTCTGCCTGGTGGTAAATTTTCATAAAATTTTGAAACCCGTCGGCCTAAACCTGTTCGATAATAAAAAAAATCCCCTATAGAACATACACATTTTCAAAACTTTCTATGTCTATGCAGGGCGATCTATAACCTATCAAAAAACTGTCTACGCTGTTCGCCTCTCTGGATACATATTGATGGAAGATGAGACGTATGTACATTATATTCCACTTCCAGCAAATTTCATGCTAGAAATATGTTATCTTGCACCAAAACGGGACAAACTTGCCAAGCTCAACAAGCTCATGATTTGGCAAGATAGTTGTAGTTGTGGTTAGAGGCTGGTCAAGCTAAGATCGATTGCTTCCTTAACCGGCACGATGGGAAAAAGGGCTGGGCCGTCGAAAGATATCATAGCCGTTGATGTCGTTCACTGATCTGTTGTAGAACTAATTCGGCCTATTTTTGAACTTCTTCACCGCCACTTTGCAAGCTTGTAATTGGGGGAATAATCCAGTGAAGTAATCTCCCGCATTTCATTCCCCGAATTTAAGCTTTGGTGAGACAATTTTGGAACAAAAACATTGATGAACGTGTTTGGCCTTTCCTTGGCCAGAATCGAAAGTTCTAAAATTGCATATCATCCTTAGAATTGTATAACATGTGATGCATTACTTATCAGTTAACCGGGTTTATCACTGGTCTGTATTTTACCTTCAGTCGCGATTATACCGAAGCCACCTGCACATCCAAAGGTAATGGCAAAACATCGGATTACAATTTATTTTTAGCAATAAGTACAGGAAGACACTTTGTTTTGAAATCTGTTATCAACATTTTGTCGAATAACATACATGTAAAAGTTAAATAAGCTATTCTGCCGCCCATTGCAAGTCGGTCGTATTTGCGTTTCTGTTAAAACTGAGTTTTTCAATGGAAGTGCTAGATAATCACCCATAGATTCGTTATATGTACTGTATGAACTTTGTTCTGGAAAAGTTTGGAAAAATAGCCCAACGGGTTGTCCCATTACAAACCATTGATAAATTAAAACGCGTTTTTCTCGGCTTACTGATTTGTGCTACGGGATGGACTCAGCGGCAGTATTGCTAGGTCAAGGAACAGTAGAACAAGGCATGTACCTAATGCACGATATTTTGTTTGATAGAAAATGGAATGTGCATTTGTGCTTGTATAGAAACTGGCAAAGCTTCAATCTATATAAAACATTTACCTGCACTTGTTGATAAACACACTTAAATCTTATACACAAGTCAATCCCAATCTAGACATCAACGCAATAAATCTCCCAAAACTTTCCGGACCGAATTTCACTCGTAAACTTCCTGATGCATTCTAACAGATAACTGGTCCATAAACTCATTATCACTTTCGTGATATATTACTTTACGAACGGTAACGATTATTTTCCAATAGACTAGACTCGGTAGAGCACATGAAAGTCTATCTTTAATTAGCGCTTTAAATGAAATCATGTCACGCAATGGAAAAGTTTCAAGTTTGTCCTGCTTTTGGGATGCAAACTCTTACAACTCAATCGGATATGTGTTTCTCAAATAAATCTCAATTTAGGGTTAACCACCCAATTTCCGGCCTATTAAGCACAACGCGCACATAGTCTTTCTTAATCTAGCGCAGTTTAGCACCAAACGGAATGTTATTATTACTGATGGCTTCCAAATTTATTTACCTTTCCGTACGAACCATAAGAATTGATAAAGAGAAACCAATCGTTAAGATATTGTCAAAAGTCTAACACTGATTCTTGACGCCAAACCCGGCCTACGGATTCTAAACTCGGCCTAACGCATTGAAACGCCAATGAATTCACTTCGGCCTATCGGATGAAGATAAAAATTGATTCGGTCGGAGCGCTTCTTTTGTTTTTGGGAATAATGGGCGTACAACGCGTTCTCATTGACTTCGTTCGGTAGCTTATTAACTAAAGTATCGTACTAAACGCATAATTGACTTTTGAACTCTGAAATCATGAATTTATTTGAAGTAGTCTGCTCGATAGGCCCAAAATGGGCGATTAGGCCGAAGTAGTTCTCTACCCTATATCATTGACCATAAAAATCAGGTTTCCAAAGGTTTCTTCGTGCTGAAGACACGGCATGTCGCATGATCAACAAGACTGTTAAGATGGTTAATATGCTACAAAGTGACACTTACATGACTCAAGTAGGATTTGTTTTGATAGCATATACTTGATACTTGTCTTTAATTGGTGGCAACTTACAAGCCGCTACTGGTATTGCCACTTGACGAATCAAGCACCAATGGGCTTCGTAAGCAAACAAGTTCTAAGAAAATACTTCATGATTTATTAACTCTTGCAGCTTTGTCGCTTTGATAAGAGGCACAGAAGAAGCAATTAATCGTTCAGCCATCACCGCTACTATGAGAAATCTGATTGCTTGTTTGCATTGAGGGAATTCCCAAAGACGTGTGTGAACATTATTGGTGGTGTGTTTTTTTAAAGGGGTTTTTCCATATTGCGGCCATTCACCTCAAAAGGGAGGCTGTCTGTCAAGGTGTAAACACACAATAACGCTTGCCACACAATTTACGTATGCAAAAGACTCAGAAACTTCTCAAGTAACATCTGTGGATGTGCATGAAGAACATTAAGTTGAGAGCAAACGAAACGTTACAGTTGAGGTGTAATATACATATTTTTGAACTTTATTTATGAGATTTTTAGCCGTAGGCTAGTTCATCTCGTCCATGAATTGTGCGGCCCCAGAAGGAGGTTGGGGGAACAGAGTAGTTTTCTACCAAAAATTGGCTCCTGGCTCGTCCGTACTAATACAACATATTAAGAACACAAACATTAAAGCCTGAATAAGACAGAACTCCACACCGGGGGGACCGGGAGGGCCTCCACAAGGCAGAGATGTCCCAACAGCCGAAAGGAATAAAAAAAGACTAAACTTTAAAATACAATGCAGCATCGCTTAAAAAGCGCATTACTGATCATCACCCAGCATGTCGCGTATGCTATTTGGTAGCTCGTGGAGTTCCCACAGGTTTAGATACTGAGGGCATACGCATAGAATGTGCTCGATTGAGGCTAGGGTTCCACAACCGACGCAAGTCTTGTGGAACGGCGTTCCACCGAAATTGTGCGAGATCTTGCTGTGACCGGTCCTCAAACGCGACGCTATCTTCTATCTATCCTCGTCGTCCCTTTTATCCGTCTGCTGAAGAGGGAGCGGCTTTGGACCCACTTCGCGTCCCAAGCTTCCCATAATTTACTCACGATCCAGCGCTTGACATCGTAGAACGGTACTTCGTTGGTATAGCGAGGGGCAGATGGTCCTGCGCCAGCTAGAAAGTCAGCTTCTGAGTGAGGTGTAATAGCCAAAGTAGATGATGCCTTTCAATTAATGTCTACACGAAGGTTTTGAACAATGACCAACATCGAACAGTAGTATTGCATTTTCTAACTAATTATTTTATTGCATCACAATAATAATTGTCCCATCCACAAACCATTTATTTCACAAACTCATCCATTCTTGCGATTCTCTTGGTCCGTCACGTCGGTTGTGCACTGCTAACTTTTTGCACATCCGCAAAAAACGCAGTCTCACCATGACAAAAATAATGTTGTCTGCCCCAAGAAAATTTGAAAGGCTTGTCTCGGGATCGAGAAACCCCTATTTTCTAACTTGAATAAAAATAATAGAAACACGCCTTAACTTGCTTCAGCCTTCAGTAATAATTTAAAAATACAAAACAGAACATGCAATAAAAATGCCTACTTTTGATAATGTTGTTTTTCTTTCCTTTGTAGGGGGTAATAAATTTGTAATCGCATCCAATCATCAGTGCAATAATAATAACAAAAACAACAACGGCATTCAGAACGAACACCAGGATTGAATACTTATTATTCGTCGTATCCCGTAAGCAGAGAGATCGCAGGACACACAACCGCAATGACGTCAGTGATGCTGATCGAGGACAGTGCCAATAATAACGATAACGTTGCCAATCATGAACTGGAAAGAGAGAAGCATCTCCGCGGGCTCACCAAGACATTTACCGGAATCGAAAAGCCCCTGAAGAACGCACCGACATGCGCAACGTTATCCGACCTTATCAGCGAGCTGCACAAAGCCTTTTCCTCCGACCGCGTGAACATTGAGTTCGTTAATCATCTGATGCTAAGCTACCAGTCCAACCCGGCCGAGTGGCGAAAGTTTGCCAAGTTCGATCGTTTCAGGTAAGGCTTTTCACGTGGTTGATAAGAAGTGCTGATCTGTAATCGCGGTCGTATAGAAATACGATTAGCACGTGTCAAAATGACAGCCTATTTTGAAAACAACATCAACTATGATATGATTAATTGCAAATAATGTTTGTGTAAGAGGACTACTATTATTCTTTGATATAAACTTGGTCGATGCGAAAAATATGTTCAAAGATTGCATAATATGCACTTGCAAACGGTGCATGTTCATGACAATAATAGCAATAAATTATCCTTCTTTTTCCTGGCTTGAACGCACTTACACGATCTTATCTACTCTCAGGTCAACTGTTCTTCGAAGCACGTACACAGTTTTAGTTGAGACTTCGGACTGATTTGAGCTTTGGGCATAACTGTTTTTGAAAACAATGACTTCGATCACCGATTTATCGCACATAATCACCCATATTCTCGTTTTCTTTCGAACCACGGTTTTTCCATACAAAAAAAATGTTTTTTGGTATGGAAAATACGGTTCGAACGAAACCAAGAATATGGATGAATATCTCGAATTACTCCCCTCGGGAATCGAACTCGCCGCCTTCTGCTTGTTGTCTGTCAAACGTCAGTGTTTTTGTAACCTGGCCCCCTATCCAACCAAATTCACTATAAGTAGGCCCCATAAAGTTTCCCTAACTCGTAAAGAAGACAGTCATGATGATATACAGTAATAGAATCACATTAGCCATTGACCTTGCGCAGTGTTCTTATTTGTTACCTTAACCTTGAAAAAAACCGAACGGTTTAGTGCTCTTGATTGATTGACTATTTATTTTTCACTCAAGAAAGCATCAAAACACCTTCCCAGCACAGTACACCTATTATCTAAATCAGCAATCAGCACATGCCAATGTCCGCATGTATTAATCAGTAGGTAGGTACTGCCCCCCGGAACGACGAATGCTGCTCAGAGACAGCAAACGTTCTCCGTACTGTTGATTTATCTGGAAATTACTCCTTTGTAATCCCGCTGATAACAACGCTTCTCCATATCAATTCAGTAGCACTTGAAGGGTGCCATTTAGAGAGGAGAAAATTCAATAACAAGCGGCGTCGCTCTTATAATACCTACTACGTACTAAGAGGAACTTCCATTGAAAAAGAATGCTATAAGTATCGTTAGTGAATGGAAGCATGCACTTTGGAGATTTATACATACCTGCTACTGTACAGTGTCACTACTTTATGCTATTGAAGTTGCCAGCCGACAACAAAGGACTGGAAATTATGCGGCATGTGTAGACCAAGATGGAAAATCACCTTAAAACAAGCCATACATCATTTGCACCATGCCATATCACACATCAGCAGATGAACGACTGAAGATTTTAATTGAATAGCTCCCAAACTAATTTTATCAGCAGCGCGGATAAGCAAAATAACTTATATTCTCCAGTGGATAGATTAAGCTTTTATAAACTTAATAAGCTGAAAATTATATTGGGGCGACAACACCTATTGTCCTGTTGTTTACATTATACATATGAAGCACTTGTAAATATTTTAAACACGCAATTTTTTGCCGATTTAATTTTACCGTACCGCAAAGTCCCATAATTCTGCGCAGCGCGTAATTCCGCGCATTTGGCAGTATATAACAAATTTAACTAAATTTATATTTTTCCCATACACAATCCCTAATAAACAAATACCATAAACGAACTGTATCCCGGATGGGTAAACTATCCCACAAATGGTTTGGACGATACCCCGAACACGTCGTTAAGCTCTCTTTTATGGTTATTTTTATTAGGGAAGTGGTTACCTACCTTCATGTACAATTCAACTCAAATTATATACAATTTATAATTATTTTAGAAATTTTCAAAACTGCGCGGAATAAGGCTTTAGGTACGCAGAATTATAACACTTAACGGTATTTTTTTTAAATTGATGAATTTATTTGTTTACTTGCATGTTGTTATCTCTACTGATGTGAATTGTTTTGTTATCGTAGTTTGTTGTAGGGGAGAAAGGGGAATATCGTACATACGGGGTGATTTTTGCAATAAGATTAAATAAGATTTCTCGTCTTTTAAAAACAACCGATAAAATGTAATATTTTTTGCGCTGTTCGTGTTACTACGAAATATTAAAATATTTCACCACTACTTTTTTACCGAGTTATGAAAATGTTTTTTTTTTTGGTATTTAATTTCGTGCAAAAAATATTTAGATATTTTTCAAACACCTGATCAACAACCCTTAGCTCAGTCGGTATCGGCGCAGGTACAAAGCAAGACCATGCTGAAGGTGGTTGAGTTCGATTCCCGGTCCGGTCTAAGAATTTTTCGGGTTGGAAATGTTTTCGACTTCCCTGGGCATAGAGTTCTGTACCACCGTTAGTATTAGTGAGAAGTTTCACTAATACATGCATTTTACTGGTTGAAAATAAAAAACAAACCGCTGTCAAGTCGAACAGTTTGACAGCTGATTTCGTGGTTGAAAATAATAAACAAATCGATTTTACACTACTCCGCTCGCTAGGTTGTATAAGAGAGATCTTGCGGCGAGAAGTCAATAGTCCTCTTCAGGCGGGTTCGTATTGGTGCGATTTGCTTGTTTAGTGAGATGAAATTTTTTGTTAGCTATGAGAAATGTTTTGTTTGCTGTCAACAACTGTCATTCAAAAGTAAAACTGAACAACAAAACGAAAACAAACCCTACGCTAGCACGGTAAGAATCCAATACCCTTTTATGAGTTAATTATTTTAACAATAATGAGTTGTTAGCAGTAGCTAACAGTTACTACATAATGGGTATGATAAATTTCTCATTAATTAGTTGTGCCACTTTGATTGAAGATGGGTTAACTTTTATTCATAAATATGTGTTTGATTCTTACCGTGTACATGCCAGTTAAATGTTATTATATAGTTGTGTTCGTGAGATGCGGCCTTGAGAACTCAATAGAGTATGAGTGTACTTGCCACACAATTATACTAATGCAAAAATAACACAGGCATCGAAAGCATTGGCGTAGCTAATGAGAGCGCAAGGGGGCCAGGCCCCCTCCAGAATTATCTAGGCACCCCCCAGATTTTTTGTTGTTTTTTGTAGCGGGAATCGAATCCTCACTTCGTGGCACTCACAATACGCCTGACGGTTGACGCCGCTAACCTCACGACCACGAAGCTAACGTTGAACACAAATTTACACTACTTTTTCGAGCTGTGTAGCTCCATGATTTTTTTAATTGTTTTCTGCTGTACTTCGAAAGTTATTTACAAAGGGAAATATTTATTTGACCTCTCATGGCCGTATACCGGTCCTCCTTTTATAAGTTACAAAACTCGAAAAAATTTCAGTCTTAGAAAATATTTCAAAATAAATTTCAAAACATTGGAAGTAAATCTTGGCAATTTTATCAATTCATTTCTGTGAGCATAGACTAAGGAGTGTTAAAATATTTTCTTTCTACGAAATCTCGTAGAATTTTTCATTTGTATCGTTCTATAAATTTCTAACACAATTTGTTAATTCTAAATCTCACTGTTTATGATCCGGTTAGTTGACTTAGACGCTGGACTGACTAATTCATAATTATTATTTTCTCATCCTCAATTGTTGGAAGAAGGTGATTTTTGAGCAATTAAAAAAAAATGTTATTAATTCTCCATTTAATCATTAATAGTGAATGTGCTAAAATGTGTCCTAGCTGCAGAGGATTTCGTATCTACATGGGACTGTTATGCGAGTAGCGTCACTACAAGTCTTAGTCGAAAATTTATTACTATTAGTTGCTATTTACCAAATTAGAGTGAGCAAAAAGAGGCACGTCACATTATCTTATCACACGATAATAGTGCAATTCACATAAACAATTCTGATCAATCTGTTTACCAAAACACCGGCGCGACGTAGACGATTGACGTCCACGCGTCCTTGCTGATCGTCCACGTCAGCGCGTCGCATTTTATTGCACAGATTAGGGTCAACGATTCTCTTACATTTGAAGTTAGATTGAACAAGCACACAGATAGTGTCAACGCTTCTCATTTTGATTATTTCTTATCATTCAGATACACGCGAAACCTAGTCGACGCGGGAAATGGGAAGTTCAACCTAATGATCCTCTGTTGGAATGAAGGACATGCCTCCGCCATCCATGACCATGCCGATTCGCACTGTTTCATGAAGATGCTCAAGGGACAGCTGAGTGAGGTGCGTTTCGCATGGCCAAAAGACAAAACCGTAGCCGATGACTGCAATGCCGACATTGGAAAAAGTGACGGTTCCTGCGAAACCGAGTACGATGGCGAAGAGCTCGAAGAAATTTCCCGATCCACAATGGAGACAAACGGCGTTTGTTACATCAACGACACTCTCGGTCTGCACCGAGTGGAAAATCCTAGCCACTCGGATGTTGCCGTGTCGCTGCACTTGTACTGTCCCCCGTTTGACACGTGCTCCATCTTCAACAAGCAGACTGGCAAACGAACCAAGTGCAAGGTCACCTTCTGGAGCAAATACGGCAAAAGAGAATCACAGGTATTGTATCTTAAATGTCACCACTTATTCAAGAGTTTTCATTAATGTCATGCCTTTCTTGTAATATACAGGACAACTAAGGTGAGTCTTCCTCCGCACCGCTCAACTTTGACTAAGCCAATGTGAAAAGCTTAAAAAGCATGGAAACGCAAGAGTGAGATTTTACAAGATTTGCCTAATCCAGCGTTTAGAGATTTTACGTGGAAGGACTTAATATTAAACATTTATATAATTTAGCAGGACAGTGATATGCATCAGCAAGCAACATTCAGAAGCATGTATGAGCAATTTTAGGTCATTTCACTATTGCATTTAAATTCTATGTATTACTGAGGATATAAAATACATAATTTTCCGAACAACTTAACGGTTTGTTTGAAAATGTGACTGAGTTTTGAAGAATAATATCCCATCGCAATCTAATCTAAACACACTCACTGAAAGAAAATAAACTTAAGAGCTGCATAAGGTATGACTTCCCTAATCCGTGTTCAGAGTATGATCCAAACCATTTGTGGAATATTTCTATCATTTGGGTATGGTATTTATTTATTATGGTAATGAAGCAGATGGCCAATTTTGGTTCATAAGATACGTAGGAATTCCATAAGCGCGACTTATATTTATACGAGGTGATTCTTCGATTTCTCAAGCGTTGATAGAAGTGAGTGCAAATCACGAACTCAATCATTTGAACGTTCAAGATTCGAGTCCAGTCTGCCCATCTTATAATACTTTTTAAGTTTCATAAGCTGACTTATGCAATTCATTTTTTTTTTCATTCCTTTATTTAACGTCGGTCTCTGTTCCGCAATCTAGTGCCAATCACCGACGGACATCGATTACCATCCATTGACGGCAATCGAATGTGCAGGAAGGCAGCTTCCACACCTGCGTAGGATATCGCACCCATTCATCAACACACATGGGCCGGGACCAACGGCTTTACTTCCCTTCCGAAGGAAGACGTGACCAGAGATTTTTATGCCTCAGAAAAATCCCACCGACCTCGGCTGGGATTGAATCCAGACCCATTGGGGTGTGAGAAAGCAGTCACGCTTACCACTACACCACCGGCGCCGGTTATGCAATTCATTGCTTAAACTTATGAATTATGTTTCCCATAAAAAAAAAAAAAAAAAAAAAAAAACCGTCTATGGGAAATCCGTTTCGAAGGAAACACGGAATAGGGGTGATAATCTATGATGTCCCTTACGAACCCAGTGGTGTGAGTACCTAGATACATGCGCAAAGCTAAACTGCCGCTGTTCGCATGTCGGTCTCATAGTCGTTTTTATCGAAACTGAATTTATCAATATAGCATGAGGATAAGGATGATTGACCGCCCGCAGTTGCTGCTTTGTTATTGCCAGATCAGCTGCAATTACACAGAGAACCAACAGATGATGTTTGGGACAAACATTCATCATCAATGTGTAAATACTGGAGATCTAATATTTGGCAATACCAGCTCCGGTCATGTCCGAACGCCAGTCAAATAGGGAATGGGAAGGAATGTGTTGGTGTGATACTCGCTGTGAAGGAAATCGAGAAGTCCTCTGCGCTTCCACGAAAAATCATTGGAATGTTGCATGTGGGTAAAGGTTTGCAGCAGGGATCGTTTTGGTAAACTAATGCAGATAATGACGTATCTTAAACACTAATGGATATGGATATGAAGTATAAATAGATAAAAAGGAAAGATCTAACCGAAGGAATCTAGTGGACCTGCAACAAGCTGCTTGGTAGTGTTTTCATATACTGTTCTCAAATCATCCTTCTTCTTGACGTAATAGTACCAGCCGTAGACGGTCCACGGGGATCAACATGAACTGGTCCAGACTCTTTTAGAATTTATTGAAATACCCCGACTTCACTTCTGATCAAGTTTCAACGTTCGTTGATTGACCGACAAATCAGCAGCCGAATAGATTTATAAAAAACACAACGGAGAAAACGAACTAGACCAGATTTTGCACACCATCATAGGATAGGTTTTTGCTCGTCGTTTGCCTAGCCCGAACTCGAAGGATAGCCAATGTCAGTAATGTTTATAAATACATAGTGGAGAACAGTATACAGGGTGCGTGACGATTTTTTGCAGTAAATGGCATATTTGAGAAAAAATACACCAGTTAGTTATTCTAGCAATGAATTTTGTGCGATTTATTTTCTTTCGCAACATATGGAAGTTGTAAGTAAATTTATTCAAAAAAATTGTACTGTACGACTGTAGTTAGACGCTTCCGGAAACTGCAGTATGCACGTTTTAAAATGTTTCGATCCATAGATGTCATCACTGCCTTGATTTTAGCTTTTAGCGACTTAAGTGTGGTGTGAGGGGTTCTATTGGTATCCCGTTGGACGACGCCCTATACAAAATAATCCAACGGATTGATATCGGGACTGCTTGGGGGCCAAATTTCTTCCTCCCAAATTTACGAGATATTTTCCGTAAGCCATTTCTGTGCTTTATTAGCAGTATGAGCAGGTGCTCCGTCTTATCACTTGCCCAAGCCTTTTTTAATATTATACACTGTTCTTTCAGACACATTTACCGACCGAATTATTTCTTTCATGCATACTCCGGCGCGCAACAAAGCGACAACGACTGACAGATTGCTCTCTTGTTTCGACATCTTTACGTTTACTCAACATTGTTTGTTTAAATCTTACACCTAACAGTATAAGCTATCCAGTGCTGCCAAATATATCTAAATCATGATGCATAAGCATGAGAAATTACTATTTGAAATTTACTGCAAAAATTCGTCACGCACCCTGTATAACGCACTCCTGGGGTAAAAACGGTCCCAAGCGACACTTCACTGCTCTCAAGCTCCGGGATTTTGCGTGCCAGAATTCTAGTTCATGTACTGAACTAACAATGTTGCCGGTCAAACTCATAAGCTGACAATTGGAGGGCTACGCTTTTCTGATAAAGGGTTCATCCACCACCTTTGATTTAATAAATAACAATCACAATTTAAAAAAAAACCATGCGGGGCTATTCTACCGCATGGGTGCTTCTCAGAAAATCCTACCCTACCTAAGTATTTGGCAAAAAAGAATAAAGTGAAACTAACTCAGCAATTTAGTTAACTGCTGGTAAACTGCATGTGGAATTCAAATCACGAGAAATCGTTGAAAAACTGACTATTCTTCTCCAGTTCGGATCGAGTGTAGCTCTTGAACAACACATCGCCACTTCACCTCTAGCTCCACCTCGATACGTAGTTCAGTATCAGATTACGCTAGAGAATTTCTCTATACGGATTAACTTTTTCTTGTTTGTCTTGCTCCTTCATGGCCATTTTTTATTCTCACCGCCGTGTCGTTTTCATCACAACCGAAACCAGAATTTGCACTACTCACCGAATCTTCCACCTCCAGATTCTATGGCCCAGCATCGGAATTCTTGATTTTGATGCTGCTTCCTCGAACTGCCAATAAACCGTGCTACCTTTAACCTGGTAATCGTATCCTGAGTTATCAGCGATAGTTTAAAAAAAACCCTCCAGCCAAATAAGCACAATAAAAAAGTAAACCGAAAAAAAAACTTGACAGGGAAAAACAATTACTTCCATCTTCAGGCCCAAAACAGAGTTTATCAATATACTGGATGAACTCAACAACTTTGTTTTGAAAAAGTTTAGAAAGACAGTCACATTGATTGTCCCATCACATAAGAAGCGATGGTATGAAGCAAATTAAAATGCGGTTTTTTTCAGCTTGCCGATTTTCGATATGGGACGGACATGCGAAGAGCGGCCGTAAAACAATTAGACAAATTGTTTACTTAGATAGGCTATAGCACAGTTTTAAGGTTTGATCATGCTTGATTAGGGAGCTTTCAATTGAACGACTATACATCGATCTACTTTGTTTATTGTTGTTTTACATTGCTTTTTCTTAACGACATTGTTTTCATATTAAGCGAAAGGGATTTCTTTCAACATCTATAAAACTAATGATTATGGAAAATAATCTCAATGTACATCTTTATTATACACTTTTATGACTTTAAAAAAAGTACCAGAAAACTAACGATAACACTAAATAATGCCAACCGTGAAATGCGTTCTTTGCCCAGCAAATTGTTTGTTAGATGTTTCATTCTGAACACAACCGGTTCATTGTGAACTTTAACCGAAAAAAATCATTAGGGAAGCAAACTGGTCTTAGTACCCTTTGTTTCCCAGAACCTGGCGCATCGATTTGAACAATCCGGGTAATAAATCTACATGTTTATCGACGCACTTAATGGCACATCGTTCGAACATCGAGGTGTACTTGGAAATGTCATCTTCCGACGGTTTGGAACCCATTTTGTCTTTAATGGTATCGTTACAGTCCATAACACAGCGTTGTAGTCGATTGTTGAAATTCCCTAGTTCTTTCTCAACGTGTTGTTGAGCATGTTGCACAGGCGCCGAGCAAGCCTCTATGCAACGTTGCACGGAATCCATACTGGCATTGGAATCGCGACAGCAACGTGCAGCACATTCGTGCATTTCACCCTGCAAGATGGGACCAGGTTGGTCAAAATTTGTATTTATTAATCTATCAAAGCATAGCATAGGCAAAGAAAAATTAGAATTTAACTCAACTTAAAATTTACACCGGCACAATTTGTTCTCTGAAATTTGAATTGTTCCATGTACTAAAATTAGTACATGAGCCTGAGTGCACGTGTGCGTGAGAGAAAAGAGTGGGCCGATAAAAAAAAACTCATTCATGTAAACAAGACGTCCTTACCTGCATCTTACGCAAGATTGTCCGATCGAGTTCGTCTACGCGCCGGGACAATTCCAGCTCGATACGTTGCTTCTGTTGTTCAACCATTTTCACCAGAACTAAGTAATATTAGTTCAAATTTTGAATGATATTGTACACTCAAGAACTAAACAATAATTATTATTTTCCACTTTTTACAATCTACTGAGCAAAGAACAAAGATGCTCTTCTCTCACGTACGCATGGAAAGAACACCGCTTGTCACCTTCAGTTGTCACTTGTCAGCGTTTGATATGTCAGAAGATTACCCATGTTGCGAATTTAGTGGATTTCATTATACGGCGAAAATTGTTGCGCTACATACACAAGAATTTAAATAGGCTTGTATAGTTTGAAGGACCCGTTCAAATATTATGTAACGCAAGAAAGTGGATTTTGAAAAACCCCCCATCCCTTCGTCACTCACTTTTCCTACACCTAATACATGGAGGTTAACGGATTACCAGACTCTTGCGTTACGTAATATTTGAATGGGCCCAAATAGCTTCAACAAGAAAAGAGTGTTTGTTTCTGTCACTTCACGGAAACCCCAGCGATCCGGACAATAACTAAACTTTTGCCCCTTGATAGAAAACCCCCTGCTGTTCAACAACAGCAACCAGCAGAATCCATCGATTACAATTTTGACCGACTATGTAAGTATTTCAGACAGTGCATTATTAAATTTTGTAATTATGTTCCCAGGTCAAATTATGATATGTTGTGCTCAGTGTGCCTTCAGTGTGTTTATGTAGTTTAAACGCCACATAATAAAAAATATTAGCAGTGTCCTACTTATTGTACGATCGTCTTATACAGTATCGTGATGATTTGTCTTATCGTTCCATTAAAGGAATAATTTTAATTCACACTTTAATGGTGATAAGCTTCAACCGGTATTGATGAATTTACGTGACGGTCGACCAGCAGATGGAAATGATGTGAAAAATGATAATGACGTACATCATCAGCTTTGTAATTGTACATCTGAAAACTAGGTGTAGCATGGCCAGTTTTAACTTTGCTTAAATTCATGAATTATCCTCGGATTAAATCCCGATCAAGAATGTCCGGCTGCTTTGATGTCAGAAATAATCAATGCGACTTTAAGCAATTATTTTGCGAATCATTCTAACAATAACGGTATTGAAAGTTAATCCAAGTTGGAGCTTACCACCTCGCTTACCGCCATAAGTCTACGATTAGCAATTATATATTTATGGTTTAACATACAATTCATGTATGCCAAGTCGTTGCAGAATAGTTCCTTAGAGGTAACTCTAAGACCAGAAGGTGCCGAAGAAACGAGCTCAACTTTTTGGCTCAGCTCTGGTACTATCTTCGCTAAGCTAATCGATTCACCCCTCGAAACATAGGAAAATCCACTAACCCCTCATTTTATCTGTCAAACTTTCATAGCGAATCAAAACAAACATAGTGTAGTACTGGAATTTATACTAGAAGGGGATACGTTAGTCGATTTGCTTGGGACCAATAGGCTAGTCAAGTAGTGAGCCAATTTAAAATCGTTTAGTATTGATTGTTGATAGTTCTCTGTTATCCATATGCGACAATAAATGCCAGCAAACATGCCAAGCAAAGGCATTTATCCTCTATCATCGAACAAAATGCAACAAGATGACACAAATACTCTTCCAATTTTTAAACTCGTATGTAATATCATGATAACTGTTATCATCCAATTAAATGTTATTGAGCGGCGAGTATCCTACGTTTTTGCTTTTCGTTGAACACCGTTGAAACAAATTTCTGGAAACATCCACTTTGTGGTAAGTTTCTTTTGATTTCAGAACCTATTCCCGGACAACATTTAATGGATGCAGCAATAATTTTTACCTATTGAAAGTATTTCTCAGAGCAGTGCCGGTGGTGTAGTGGTAAGCGTGATTACTTCGCACCCCAGCAGGCCTGGGTTCAATCCCAGTCGACACCACCGGAATGTTCTGAAGCATAACATCTCCGATCACGCCGGGAAGTAAAGCCGTTGGTCCCCGGTTGATGAGTTGATGGGTCCAGGTGTGGGAGCTGCCTCCCTGGCGTCAGTACCATTGGTGCTCAGCACGGAAAATAAGATCGACGGAAAACAAATCAAGGGGAAAAAAAAGTATTTCTCAGGTAAGTTACGTTCCGTGGGACGATTATCGCAGTTTGTTCCTGATAAAGGAGAACGCAAGCTCCAAACCGCTCCAAACTGAATGAGAATTATTTGATCTTGGTGGGAGGCACTTTCGCATCATCCAACAGCTGACTACGATGAACCTTTTCACAATCGCCATAAGATCTGGTCCAAGCCGAACCAATTATACCACAAACGAAGTGACAGACGGAGCGGCTCGAAAACTTTGGTGACTAACCTGCTATTTCAATTTTTCAGTGTACCACATGGCAACACCACTACTACTAGATTGTACCACATGGCAACACTACTATTGGATTGTACTAGCATTTTCACCAAATGTATTAGAATGTTTTGGTTCTATCTCTTTCACTCTACTAAAAACTGAAATGCATAAAAAAATGACAAAATGATACACTCTTTGCACACTGTCAAAGAATCATTGTACACAAAATCAACTTTGTTCAAATCAAAACAAAAAAAAACTAACCCACCTGGTGGATGATGGCACAAGCTTCCAAGAAAATTCTATTACAGTGAACCACATTATTTAAATGGATTTCTTCGCCAGTTAGTCGTCTGTCACTTCGTTTGTGAATTACACGAAACGAAAATTAATTATTTTATTCATGTGTTTTACTTATACATTTTTGCCAAAACATCAGCCTTATACATTCCATAAGACATACCACATACGTCCTATAAGAACGCATAAAAGGTATGTGTGACCATTTATACATTTCATTTGACACATGATCTTAATTAAAATTTTGCAATGCGTTTGCTTATTAGTTGACTTATACATTTTATGAATAATCAGCAATGGAAATTTGCCAAAAGGTATAAGGGGATTTCTATCCGTGTATACCCTCTATCCATCCCAGGAGACCATCCGTACAATTTATTTGGAGTTGGATCAGTTCAGGGTCGTTCAGAACGATCTGGTGCTGGTCAGACGGACGGTGCTGCAGCTGAAAATAGTCCTTGATAAGGTGGGTTCGATTCAGTTAGACTGTGGTTAGTCGTGAAAAAGATCGATCCGTGGTCCTGAAGCCAGCCACAAGGCGGAGCTTGTTTTTGGTTTCCGGTGCTTCTATAGAACGATATCATCTTGGAGCCGTGAAATATAGGCAAACCTGCCGGACACTGTCGTAAGTAAACAAGCTACTTAATTCTTCCGGTTACCAGTAAGTGTATGTATTATTAATTAATAACACGGTATCAAAACTCAAAATATTATCCCTAACCTAAATTGTAGTGTAATAAAACAAGTGTATCTTTAAAGGCTGTCCAAATTTATTCATACCAATAAAAAGTACCATTAATTCATTGCAATAATCACTAGTGATTGTAGACATCCTCAACAAAGAAAACTTAAACATAAAAATAAACGGGTCAGAGGAAAAGCAGCAAAAGCATATTCGACCATTTGACTTGATATTGATCAGTTTCTTACTTTATAATTATTGTTAAGTTTATTCCTAACTTTACATAATATTGGCTCAATCGAGCAATTGTAAACAAATAATGAGAAAGTCACAAACGAGTTCTCATTTTCACTCTGAAAAAAAAACCACCAATTTGTGAGCGGTGTTGTAAGCATGTAAACAAAGGCAAAAAATTAATGTTTTAAGAAAAATAACTTGAAAATTGAAAGTGATCGACTCCGCACCACTCAGCATTTATCATGTGCTTTATTTTTGAAAAGAAATTTGAAAACACAGTCCTCATATTAAAATTTAGACGTCCAATTATTAGTAAACGGTAAACTATGGCACGGTAAGTTCATGTTTTTTTGTACGTTTATTGTTAATGCTATTAAGTAAACTATTAAAAAAATGTTTCTTCCGTTTTCTTCGTTTTCTTACAAGAGAGGCAGGAAATCTCATAAATACCTTACGAAATCATAGATGTTGATGTTAATGTTCGATGTTAGATCTTACTAAGGTAAAGCTGGGATAGAAACATCTAAAGAGACTGAATTTATAAAAAGATTACATGTCAAAGTTATCAATTATTATCAATTACAATCGATTATATGTCAAAGTCGTAGGAAAAGTTATTCCAAACGAGCAGAAGACCTTTCAAATGGATATGAAGTCGTCTCTTTATCCAATTCAGTCTCCTTAGAAAAATCATACATAAAAAGTGCATGATCCCTTGTCACGCAACAATTGAACTGACATTTAACAAGCAACAAAAAAATGTTGTTGATCCACACGTCCACAACTTTGCCACCTGGGTAGCTGCCCGTTGGTCGCGGTTTTCGCCTCGTACGTCACATTTTCGCTCGTCGCTTGCCGCTTGTGAATGACACGCACACAAGCTCGTATGCGCCGCCAGGAGGAAAAAGCGAGCCCACATTCGAAGCAGCAGCAGAGCAAAGGAAAGAAGTTTAGTGTAGTGATAGGAAAAAGACATATTTTTCCTACATCAGAGCACAAGCACCATACATAGCCGCTCGGTTTCAGTTTTTCGGTTCTTTTAATTTGAAATAATTGTACGCAAAGTTTCTCAAGTTGACGGAAATCGATTGCGTCCGGTCGCGGCAGAATTTCCTGAGTTTTCGGTGAGATTTTTCAGTTCAGTCCGCGTTGTTTCGTAAGGTGGAATTTTAGTTAGTTCGGAATGTTTTATCCACTGGTAAGTACCATGCAGCTTCTTTTTTTTCTATCCTGTCTTCCATTATTCCCCGAGCCGGAATTTCGACTCCTTATTTTTCGACGGTGGATTGTGGGTGAAAAATGTGATTTTTTCCTTGCATGATGGTGTGCACGCGAATGCCGCGAGCATAAAAAGGGAAAAGGAAATGCGAGCTAGCGAATGAGCGAAAAAAAGATGAAGGCTCACAAAATAAATTCCTGCACACTGCTGCTGCTGCAGCACGCGGTGAGTTTTGTGGGAGAGCAGCACCAATATTGGAAGGGTAACAAAAATGTCTCGCGTTTGCAGTAGCGCTACACGCAAAATGGAGCAAATGCTCATGTAATCAGTCTGCCCGAAATCCACGTATTATTCGCTGTGTTTTGATTGGAAATTTATAAAATTTACACTTGATTCATAGTGGGATATGATTTCCGTCCTGAATGGAAACCGGCAATAATTTTCGGCAGTCAGATATGTACAGAGAAGATTGTTCACAGGTCAGGGTTGGTACGGTCGTCGGTGTATTGGTGAGGGTGGGGTGGGATGGAGTTGGATCGACGAACGTCTGAAGAAGGAGACGAGGTAGTGCGCTCTGTGATGGCACGAAGACGCCCCGGCTCCTGATGCGATGTATTTTGTGGCTTAGTATAGCAGTGTTGCCAAGTTAGTATATCAATTATTAATTATTATTATTTATTCCGAAATCAGTGGCTATTGTACGTACACCAAAGATTAGTTAACATCGCAAAGGCAAACATCCTTCTGTTTTACAGAATGGGACGATGGATGTAGGACGGATCTTCCTTCCTCTAATCACTATCATGCATTGAGGTGAGAAAGAGACATTGAATTTCCTCCTATACCCATTGATCCATCGACTATCTACTTATTGGTAATTGAATTTTACAACGCCTGGTTGGTTTATTGCCCACCTAATTTAGCACTGAATGCGAAATTGCATTGATTGCTGTGAAATTGCATGCACGCGCATCTAAGTGTTTAATTTAATTAATTTTAAAAAAGTTTGCCTTAGAGGTCTATTTTATGTTTACATTTAAAGTTTTTTTTCCTTGATTTGTTTTCCGTGCTGAGCACCAATGCTACCGACGCCAGGGAGGCAGCTCCCACACCTGGACCCTACCTATCGACCCATCAACTCATGACCGGGGCCAACGGCTTTACTTCCCCGAAGGAATGCGTGATCAGAGATGTTATGCCTCAGAACATCCCGGCGGCGCCGACTGGTATTGAACCCAGGCCTGCTGGGGTGAGAGGTAATCACGCTTACCACTACACCACCGGCGCCGCTGTCTGAGGCGAAAAAATCTTTGGTCACGTCTTCCTTCGGAAAGACAGCCGTTGGCACCAGCGTATGTGTTGATGGGTTCGATATCTACTCAAGTGCGGGATACCGAGACTGACGGTAAATAAACAAATCAAGAAGAAGAAGGCTAGCTAAAATTCCGAAATTAAAAACTTTGGAACACTGAGGTTTGGAATAATACTACTGTGTTACCCAGTCCAGTGGCAGGCGCGTAGGCAACATGTTATACCGTGACAGCGGGCCCAGCACAGCAAAATAAACGATTTGAGCCCGGGACATGCTGCCTACTGTCAAACGCTGCTGTTAGTATAGGTCTTGTCACTGGCCTGGTGTTATCTGACTTATAACGAATATACGTTGTATACGAGTATCCCAAATACAACGTATAGTTCGGATTTTGTGGATTGAAAATTGGGATTTTTATAACAGCCCTACCATTGTGAGTGCAAAAATTTATCCTAAATTATCGCAATAGATCAGAGCACGAAAAGCTATCCTCGCTTTTTCCTTTTATTCTCCAAGAGATAGCAACAAATGGGAGCCAAAACAAACCCGACAGAACTGTCAACATTTGTGGGTAAGGAAAATTGATATGGATATTTAGATTAGGTTGCGTGCACTGAGCTATTGACCTGAAAATATGATCACTACTTCTAATGTAGTTGCAAAATTTTCTTCAAGGCAAGAGAGTCATTTCAAAGCAAACAAAATGATTTGTTTATGTTATAATCATCATGTCTGTAGGTTTTCTTTGTTTTTAAGGTGTTTTCATGTAGATTCTTATCACACTTTGCAATTTCAAGAGCACAAATCTCAAGATTTACGAAGTTTATAGGGGAATTTGCGTATTCTTGTCAATCTAAGGAGGAACACATGTATGAAGTGTTTGTTTGTTTACACGTCACTGCTGCAGGCTACTTTATCCATACTGCCGCTATTCGCATAACAGTCCTATGTAGACAGGAAATCCATAGGACATGGGACTTTTATGCGAATAGCGGCAGCATACCAATCGACAGAATTGTCCAAAACAGGAGTCTCATTGCGGAAGTCGAAACGAAGCATTTTTTATATGAAATGCTAGTCAAAAAATGTTTCATACAACCTAAAGCTATCGAATCCATAAAAAAACAGGTTTTTGTTTAAAATCAATAGTATGCTAATTGTTTTTCAATAGTGCTCAGTTGAATCCTCAACAACGAGAATAATGAACACACTGACAAGCTTAAATCAGTATTAACTATTCAATGGTAGATTGACAAACAAGAGACGGACCGAAAAGTTGTGGATCCACCTATAAGACGGAATTATACGGAATTTCATGAAACTTTTGGATTTTCACTATGAAAACAGCAGAATAGTCGTGCAACATTTGAAAAAGGCCGATGTTCAAAATGTATACAAACCAGTGAATGAATTGTAAATTTTTCCTCCACTCAATTCATATACATGTATCGAAATTGAAGTATTTTAGGCATTTATATTGTTCCCAATAACAATAGTAACTGTATCTCAGTACACAACACCCAGAATATACGAAAAGTTTGCAAACATACATGAAAATTTATAACAATTTAATTTTATAAATTAATAAGCCATTAAGATCTTTCAATGGTTACGCCCTATTTGTTAAGCCGTTGTGCTTGTCATCAGAAATGGTAGGCCCTTGCCTAAAAAAAAAGAAAAGAAAATTTTTAATCTACGTCAATAGACTTATCAATGGAACCTAATGGGACGAAAATAATATAATTTTTCTTGTAACTTACAAGTGTAAACCATTATTATAACTTCTAAAGATTTCAGAAATCTGAAAAACTTTGGTGCCAAGTGCTCAAACACCACCACAGTATTCGGCACTGAGGAAGTCTACAAGTAGTGAAAGCAGTTGCGTCCGGTAACCTCACTTTTAACCTGTGACCCAACTTTCAATACCAGATTTAATGCCATATTCATACCCAAATCGGTTGAAAAATACACTTAATCTTCTAGTTTACTCGATATCTATCCATTGCAAGCAATATTTTGATAATTGTTTATGTTTGAGAGTTGGTGCACAGGTAGATTGAGGTTAAGGAAACGCCACTGAGTGAACGAAATACGAGTATATGTCAAAAAACACAACAAGTTCACTATTCATTTAAAATTATGAGCCGCCAACGAATTGAGTACATTTCTTGGTCTATTTTAATGAAAAACTTTTACGTAATTTGTGTTCCGTTCATTTTTTGCCTGCGCTCGCTGCAGAAACAAAAAGTTTTTTGGTTCAATTTAATACCTACGGGACATTATTACTAAAATTAAGAGAATTGTGTTGTGTATAACTGTGACGCAGAGGGAGTAAAAACAACAATCTCGTTTCAAGGACTATTTTCGAAGGGCCGCAGTTGCATCAATTGTTGGGCCCAAAATGGGGACAGTAGGCCGATATTACATCCATGTTCCTCTGATTGTGCCTCTTTGAATGTGAAGTTGACAGGTTTTAGGAGTTAGGTAAAGAAGCGTGCGTTTGACTTGTACCACAGACAAACAGACACAACACTGGCAATTTGTTCATCGAACACGCATTTAACGGTAAATTTAAATGTTTTTAGTTGGTAGTACCACCACATGTGGCGCGCCGCATAGTCAATAATCCTTGCGTTTAACGTTTACACACTTCCGCCAATCTGTTCAGCGTACTACCCATCACAGTATACTCATCAGATGGCGGTAGTGTTTTACGACGATGTTTTATATTGAAAGATATTCAATGAGTTATGTCTGTTTGTCTGTGCTTGTACTGTCGCATTAATGGCCTTTCGCTCATTTTCAACTTCTATTTAATTTTCATACTGCCGTACTCTAACGGAACTATCTACCTACTAACTACACACTAAAGCTTCATGTTAGATAGCATTTCCAGGCGACTCTGAGGTTTTACATGTCAAACGCATACTTTACCACCTCTTCTTGTAACTTACAAGTTCAAAATACTACATATTAGGGTAAACCCTGCGGTACGTTAGAAGCGTTGGTTCCTATAATTGTGTACCGCAACTATTTATAGGAGTGTTAATGGTTTCATAATTCCCAAAAACAGTTGGCCTGTGCCGGCCGTTTTGAAAGCCATCATAATATAAATGATTCAAAATTCTGCACGGCGATGTAGGGGAGTGAAATCTTAAAATGCTTCTAGGTTAACTGCCCAATTTCCGGCCTATTAAGCACAACCGGCACTTAGTCTTTCTTAATCTAGTTAAGTTTAGCGCCAACCGGAATGTTATTATTACTGATGGCTTCCAAATGTATCTACCTTTCCGTACGTATCGTAGGATTTGATAAAGAGAAACAAATTGTTGAGATATTGTTAAAAGTCTAACACTCCTTCTTGACGCCAAACTCGGCCTACGGATTATCTAAACTTGGCCTAACGCATTGAAACGCTAATTAATTCACTTCGGCCTATCGGATGAAGATAAAGATTTATTGGGTCGGAGCGCTTCATTTGTATTTGAGAATATTGGGTGCAAACATTCATATCACGCGTTCTTATTGACTTCGTTCGGTAGCATTTGAACTAAAGTATCGCACTAAACGCATAATTTACCTGTTAAAGCCGAAATCATGGATTGTGTTTTCTGCTTGATAGACCCAAAATAGGCGCTTAGGCCGAAGTAGTTCTCTACCCTATTTCACAAACAATCTTTTATCAAATTTTCCATTGATTATATCTAAGGGGCTAAAAACTCAAGAGCTACTCAATAAACGTATTAAATTAAATATTCTTATACAGAAAGTGGTTAATACATATATTATGCAATAGGTAGATTTAGATTATTTATCACCCATAGCAACAAACAAATTTATTATTTTTACTTTTTTCATAAAAGCTTTTTTCGGCTTCTTAGGATGTATTCTTATCATTTCTCCTGGAAGTTTCTTTTGGCATCTCTAAAAACTTTCAGTACTATCGATTTGTATGGGTTATAATAATGCGCCATTTTTTCGTAGGCAGCATAAAAAAGTTTAAACAGCAATCAATGCTAGGCCCAAGCATGGGTCCGCGGTTATGCTCGCTATGGCTCCTATTAGTAGAGATAGAGGTGCCACTTCCTTGGGTTATAATGAATAAAATTAAGTCCACATACAACGAAATGATGTACCAATTTTCGATTATACCTATCCATATCCGTTTCAAAATTTTCGGGGAATCACGAATTATAGTGACTGACATTGTGTAGGCAAGCCCTACCATACATCGCGAGATATTGAGGAAATGTCCAGCTTGTACAAATCCTCGGTACTCCAACCCGACACGTCCATCATGACGTGCATCGTTTAACAGGTGTGGCTATCGGAAGGCTAGCAATGCTTAGGTATTGAATAAAATTCGGAAAGGATTAACAACTATTAATGTCCTTGTTTTTTATCAAGGTTTGACCAGGATCTCATGTTCGCTATTATTTTAATAATGCGGAAGGTCTGTCCCTTAAAACTGTTCTAAATCCTCCCCCTGTGTAGACAATCATTCATACAAACCTAGAAAAAATGTATAGAACACTCGCCAGCTCCCATCCCCCGGTACTGTCCATGGACATGGACAGCCCCTACATTCTATTGTTCGTTTTTTGATCAACATGGATATCGCATTTATGCGTAGGTACACTTTGGCAACACAGTCCGCGAATCTTTTCCGCTTCACGTGTAGGTATCCCTGTGATGATGTGCCATGTATCTCGTATGCGAATATGCCAAAAAGGAAGAATAGCATAAGAACTTGATTGATGGCGGCGGTATAATTCCCTTTTAAAACGCTTATAGCAAATAACAAACACGTTTTTTTTATTCAATAGCTATCATCTACGTGCATCGATGCGAAATATGCGCAATTTTTTTTTAATATAAATGCATTTTCTAATCTTTTCTAGCAACCAACTTTCGAGGATGGAGAGATCGAGCTTGCCCGGACGGAGATGCTCAGCCAGGATCCCATGGTCGACAATAAGCATTCACTCGCCGTGTCACTTTCGCTAGGGAACACATTAATCAATCTGAATAAGATCAAATGTCCACAATGCAGAAAGGTAAGAACCAACAAGTCTAAAAACTCCATACACTCCAGAGAAAGAGAAACAACAGAATCCCAAGCACCACAGTCAATCCTTTTACCTAAATGTTGACCCTCCTCAAAAGTCAACCCCCGCACGCCTCTCTAGCACTTCCAGTCTCCCGTCATAACATAAAACATGCGGCCATCCGTATTCCTTTGTTATTGAGTTGGTCCACACACAGTTCGGAGGAGAAACCTGTTCTTGACTCACAGCCTTATTGCTCCTTTTCTCGTTCCTCCTCCCCTTGTACTACACGCGCCTTTGCCTATGCACCCTTTTCTCCTACACCGCCGCGAAGGAGTTGTGTATATGGGAAACAAATTTCCAAGCCGCACCGCGTCTCCTATCTATACTATAGACCGTCAGTTCGATTGAGTCTCGGTTCTCTACATATTTTTTCTCTTCATTTTATGTTCTTTCACACGCACATGTGAATTGCGCGTACAACGCAAATAATAATCCAACAGCGCTTCGATTCGATGGAAGAGATGCAACAGCATCGCACCAAACATCTGACGGAGAACAAGTTCAAATGCGAGATCTGCGGCAAGGAGTTCCCCAGTCACAGTTCCATGTGGAAGCACACCAAGGCACACACTGGCGACCGTAAGGAAGCATGAATGATCCGTTTGCGACTTTGGAAGGCGCGTGGCTAATTTGAATTTTCGTATCATTTCGTTACAGGTCCATTTGTATGCCAGATTTGCAATAAGGGTTTTACACAATTGGCCAATCTACAGCGGCACGATCTGGTTCACAATGGTAAGTTGGAATGATTAAATTGCATTACCATAATACTTCATACCTAGTACTATTTATAATTGATTGCAGTTGAATTGCATAATTCAATTAACTATGGAACTAATGCATAGAGTGCAACATGGAAACTTTGATCAAATATTTGGATGTAGCATAATAATGTAAGAATTAGTATTGTTTTTTTTTTTCTACTGGAGTAGACCTTTGACGCAGTTGATTTTGTTCGGCAGCGACGGCGTGCATCGGCGTATCACTTTGGTCGTCGTAAAAATACTGCATTTTCAACTTGAATTTCAAGTAGGGGAAAGTGGGGCAATTTCGCCAAAGTGGCCACCCGTTAAAAAATTAATTTATTGAACATATTTTACAAAACAAAATTGTTGCAGGCTTAAAGCTAGAAGCCTACTTGAATACTTGAACTATCCATTTCATTTGAGTCTGAAAAATTACTTTTCTCTAGCGTTAGACGAAGTTAGACTAGCCCAAAATGTCAAAAATGTTATAAAATGTTTGAATCAGACAATAATCAGTAGTTTCTTATAACTTATCGTTAATATTCCTTCAGCAGCTATATAAATCAAGCTGAACATTGCATTAGGTCATAAGTAACATTGATCGATTCTCTTCGTCGGTTTTCTCTTTCGTTAATAACTTGGGCACATAACCGTTTCTTGTTGTGTTTTTCGTATTAGATGCAGGATAAAAGCTTCTTTTATCGATCTGTGGTATTATTATTATTATCCTCAGTTTCAAATGTCTTTGTTATTTAATATGTCACATAAAGGGTTTTAGTTTGACGTCCCCCCGGGTAATTCAGAACGTGTACAGTGGTGTATTATGGATCTTGGCTCTAAATGCAACTTTTTTTTTTAAATTATCATGGTGTGTTAACTGCTTTTCAGGGAGAGGGGGGGGGGGTTACTTTTATAAGTTTGAGAAAATTGCGTTATCTTTCGCTGATTCGGGTTTCCGTACCGCTTGCTTATCGCTAAGTTGTACATTTCTGGTTCTCGGAACGTGTCTGATAATTGTTTAAAAAAGTCTGAATTGGGTAAAGAGGCAGAATGTCTTTTCCCATAAGTTTAACAGATAACCAATTGTTCCAATTTTGACTTGTCACCTCTTTCTAGATTCAGCCAGATATTACTTTTGAATACTTATGCGTCTTTAAGTGTAGGGAAATGTAGGTAATGTCGGCCTAATTGTCCCTAATTTGGGCCCATCGCTAAACGTCGGCTATTTATCAATTTTATCTAGATGAACGCGTTATTGGGACGTAACTAATGGATATTTTTGGTTGCTATTGAAAATTTAGTTGATTGCTGAATTTATGTATGGGTCCAAATTAGGGACACTTAGGCCGACATTACCTGCATTTCCCCTATATCGGCGGTGCGCCGGCTCAAATTCATAGGCGGCGGCGTGGCACGGCGACGCACAGGTCTATACGAGAGTATTATAGGATGATCGCTCAACCGAGAAATAATCCGGTATTTGATTCAAATTTCAAAATTGAAAGCTTAAAAATGTTCAAAGCCCTGATTTTAAAAGTTTTACCAAATCCTGAATCTTGAATGTCTGTGCCTGGGATCTTGAAGTATTTTCAATGTATGAATTGACTAAATAATTTCTAGATTTCTAGAAGATAGCTCCTTATCTTAATAATTTCGTTAAAACCGTCACAATGTGTGCATAGCTACTTCCAGGATTCCCCTGAATAATTATAGTCGCTATATTTTTAGTATGGCGGATAGAATCTCGGGAAACAATTAAGCTGTCAAATAGCGGAACCAATCGAGCATATCACGACCAGCAACAAAAAAGAGCACATCATCTTTTGCGAACAAAACTTCGGATACACTTCGGACTCAAGGCTCACCTTCGCAAACTAACACCATCATGGGGTTGGAGACTGTTTTCCCTATCCGATGATGCCGTTAATTTGCGTTCGGTTTACGAGGAAAGCACGATCAAAGTTTTGTTTATATAAGTGGATAGTACTTTTCAATTGTTGTTCTACAATATATTGAATTGGTTCCGCTTTTTGGTAGATCGAAATTCTATTCGCCAGACTCTATGAATAATATTAAAATTGACTCTGACGTTTCCTCCCTTTACAATTATCTTAGTATTCTCAATAATTCTCGCGCAAAGCGCTAATTTCTCCATAATCCTATTAAAAAGTTACCCTCTGGAAATGTATACTTGTAATATTTCTATGAATTGAATTGGTTCCGCTTTTTGGTAGATCAAAATTCTATTCGCCAGACTACCTATATGAATAATATTAAAATTCACTCAGACGTTTCCTCCCTTGATTTTTTTTTATCATAACAGCATTCGTAATTTTCTGGAATCCTCTTCGGGAAACTTTACAATTATCTTAGTATTCTCAATAATTCTCGCGAAAAGCGCTAATTTCTCCATAATCCTATTAATTTATCTGGAAATGTACCCTTTCTATGAATTCTCTTGGAGTTCATCGTGGAAATCTAAACAGAATTATTATAAAATTAAATGATTTCTTATAAAAATTACTTTGAAATAATTTCCTAAAGTTTGACATGGATTCTACTGGAGATTTTCCTGCAATTCTCTTTTAAATTTCCTTGTAAACTGTGGACTTGTCAAATTCGAGATGCGATCAAAAATAGACTAGTGCGTCATGATTAGGAACGCGTCAAATATGGTGTTGGAACGGTATGTTGATCTCACTACACATCGCATTCATAATGATCAAAAGTTCGATGTCCCAAGTTGCAGGTTTGGTTTTATCATGCTCTTGTAGAAGCTCGATCAGACTTGGGGTAAAAACTGTGTTAGTAGACACCGAGATTTTAAATTCTCAAAATCCAGTACTTTTAGCATCTGAATTAAAATTACATTGTACTATGTAAAAATAATATAAAATGTTACAATTGCAAATGTCTCGATCAACAATAGAAAAGGGCCTACAGCTTTTGTAAACACAACTGTCAGTGCGCGAACCGAAGGTCGCCAATGGAAACCAACAATACTATCGGGACGGGAAGAGTGGGTGTTGGGTGAAATCTAAATTTGATGTTGTGATTTCGCTGATAATGATTACTCAGGTTGCTGTCGTTTTTATCGTTTAACGGTTAAAATATCAAAATTCAGAGCAAACAAATCTTCCTGTGACATCACATTGAAAACTATTTCTGCTATCAGTGAGAGCAAACTGAAAACTAAATTTGATATCCATTTTTTCTGTTGATAACAAAACAAGTATTCAATATGATGTTACGCTAAGGCAATGAAAACAAACCCGCAACAACATATTTTTGAAGAGCAAATGCATAGCAAAATGACAACAAAATTAGGTATCAAATTTGTCAATTGCGTCAACTGAAATCAAATTATGATTTCAGTTTGATGTTGATATCAAAACTTGATTTCAATTTGCTGTCATTTTGATGCTGGACTTTGCTCGGGTTGCATACGCGAGCTTCGGTTCACGCGAAAAGTGCATTACAAGTTTTGATAAAAGCAGATAAATAAAAAAAAAAATCAAACGCGTTTTTGCTCTAAATGCTCACGTAATTATTGCATGGCCCCCAGATAAGTCCAATTAAGGGAAATGTTTCACGAGAGGAAAAACTGGCAATTTACAATAACTAAAAAAAAATCTCAATGATGACAACCTACACTGTATTCGGATAACCATGCCGACATTCATTAGTTTGGTTCATACTGATGAGAAATACATTTACATCTGCTCATAATCCACGACCAATTGCCAGAGATGAATCAAAGAAGGCCGATGACACATTTTCTCTAAGCAAAGTCCTATTTTCTCTTCTCTATTTTCCGATTTTGATCACCTCACACAAACCGCGAAAATCAGGATTGAAGCCTTTCAAATGCCCAATCTGCGAAAAGTGCTTTACACAGCAGGCTAATATGCTGAAGCATCAGCTCCTCCATACCGGTAAATCTAAGCTCACACTCGATTTTCCCATATTTTATATTGCTTAAACAAACACTCCTAGGTTTATAGAATTAATTTCAAATTCAGATAAACCACACTTAGCTTCTTTTATTCATCTCTTTACGATCCCGTTCGCCCAGTCCTTTGGTTCCTACCCGTTCACTTTTTCACAAGTTTGATTTAACGTTCGTTGTGTTACTTACTTTAGTTTGTACATTTCATTTCAATTCCAGGACTTAAACCTTACAAGTGTCCGGTTTGTCAGAAAGCATTTTCTCAACACGCCAACATGATAAAACATCAGATGCTTCACACAGGTACGTACATATAATCCCTCAACTGCCTTTCGTTCTTTTACTGGTTTAATCCTTTACCATCGACAACTATCAGTTCCGTTATTTATTATCATCACACGACTAAATTTTCTAAGTTGATCTTTCGAACATATTTGCCTCCAGTGTTTCTATCCTATTATTTCCCGTTCACTTCCTTCTAATCATCCTATTTCGATATCTAACTCCATAAACGGTGACAAAGTTGATCTTGAATTTTGCTCTATTTTTCTCTTCTCGTTTCACCGATGGCAAACATTGCAGGTTTGAAGCCTTATAAGTGTCCAGTGTGCCAAAAGGCCTTCACTCAACACGCCAACATGGTTAAACATCAGATGCTTCATACCGGTAAATGTCGCTGAATTACAACATCAATAAATCCATCCCTATTAGCAATAGATATCCATTATCTCCTTGTACCCGTCCATGTTTCCCGTTTCGAAGTTTGCTAGAATTTGTAGCTGGCAGCAAATCTAACTCTGATTTCCCTTCTTCCAGGCTTAAAACCCTACAAATGTCCCGTCTGTGACAAGGCATTTACCCAACAGGCCAACATGGTCAAACATCAGATGCTGCATACTGGTAGGTCATCCAAGTTTGCGTTGTATTGAATAGAACTTCACTCTGTCCCTCAGAATAAAAACTTTCGTAAAACCGAGATTTTTTCGTCTGGAGAATACACTAATATTCGAACATCTGTTTCTCCCATTTTTTCTTTCCAATGTTTTGCAAATCTTGAAAAAAAAAAACAATCGAAAATTCCCCACATCCTGTTTTTAGGAGTAAAACCTTACAAGTGTTCCACGTGTGGCAAGGCATTTGCACAGCAGGCAAACATGGTCAAGCATCAGATGCTTCATACCGGTAAATCTTAGAACGCTTAAGTTGACTAGATTACTGAATCTCAAAGATCTCTCTTCTCACCTGTGTTAAACATTCAGACGAAAACTGTTGAAAGTCTCCCGCGCGGATGAGCATCTAAATTCGTTATGTTTCGAACAAAGAAAAACCAAAGTACATTTCTAGATTAATCGAATAAAAAATCTATTCAATTCTGAAAACAACATGCAGTAAAATAAAAACAGAAAATTCGATTTCACTTTTTCAAACTAACATATTGTGCTCTTAATATTTTCTATTTTGTTTCCTATTCATCATTTGTGCCTTCCCGTAATTCTGTTTTTCTCTTCATTGTTTCTCTTTCTCTCTCTCTCTCTCTTATCGACCACCTCAAATGAACGCACGATCTGTAATAACGAATCAAAACCCGACAAATTGCAGGAGTCAAACCGTACAAATGTCCAACCTGTGGAAAAGCTTTTGCCCAGCAGGCGAACATGATGAAGCATCAGATGCTCCACACCGGTAATATTTGCTTTCCTTAAATATCATTTTTTTTATGTTTTATGTTGTAAATGTTACGAAAATAAGACTTGAGAAGGCCTTTGCGGATATCGCTATGCGGTGATCCTTTTGATGTTGTCGCTTTTTCAAATTTAACTTTCTTAAGACTGACTTATGTAATGTTGCAATGTATTCCTCAAAACTCAACAAGTATTTCGTACACAAAACCTAATATCGCTTCGCAAACAAACACGTAAGGAAAGTTGCACTCGTCGTAGTTGAAATTGATGATGGAAATCATTGTTCTCGATGTTGATTCTGATGTCTGTGCTAGGGAAATGTGATTCGACGAGCGATGTTGGAAAGCTAGTGTGTTCGTCAGTCGAAAACTGTTTTTTTATAGAAACCATTTCGATGATGACAAGTTCCCATGCAATTTTCGTCTCACTTGGTTGGTTATTCATGATCTTTATGGTTAAATTTAGCAGAAATTTCCGTAGTTCGTGACCATTCTAAATGTGATGAAAAAAATGCTACCTTTTGAGAAATAATTTAATGATTTCAATGCTCAATAATTCAGAATTAACGTTTGTTTTGTATTTCATCTAGATTTTGGAGATTGGTTGGAGTAATCTACAACACTAGCTCGGACAATATGAACCCGCTTATGACTCTTCTGTGAATCTCAATACCAATCCCAAATGTTCTCAAGTCAAGTCTTGAAAACTTTGAAATTTCGGAAACATCCGAGCACTGTGTCAAACTTGTTTCTGTGTTTTAGAGGTGAATATAGAAACAACCAGTGCTGAATTTCTCTAGCCAACTGATGTCAGTATCAGTTCACAAAGTTACAAAGCGCGAATTACATTGACATCGTAAAGGGGCCACTGATATTATTGACAATTTTTCTTTAATACGCCAGCTAATCGAATACCGATCTTTAGAAAACTCATCAGTAATGTTAAAACAATTCAACGGTTATACAAAAAAGTTGATTTATTGAGATAAAAGGAAGACTTTCAACCTTTTCCTAGTGGAGTAGTGTCGAAGACGTATCGCCTGATATCATGCTAACTACGAATATCAGTGTCGGAAGTGAAATTCAGTACTAAACCAATATCTTACGTCAATTGACATTGTTGACAGCACGCAGCACTGCAAACAACATACACATACTGTATAGCAAATGTCCATGTAGATTACTAATAATATTCATTAGGCTCACACAGGTTAAATCCCATGAAATTCATGAGTACCATGGAAAGTGTGTGTGATCACCCATCTAATTGATGTTCATTCATAGCCCAGACAACCAAAAATCGTATAACAATGTACACACAGTATCGTAAATTGCTACAGTTTAAGTCAAAATCGCATATAAGAAGGGCATACCTCGCATTATGTTTAAGTTATATCGTATAGAATGCAAATTTCCGACCTATATGCGATGACTTATTTTTCCGTCGTACTGTATCCCAAATTAAATCGGATTACATCGTAAGACTTTTCAAAATGAATTTGTTATTACAGATTAAATCGTGTAGGATGTTAAATCAACTCGTTTAAAATTAATTTTAAAAAATGCACGTATATGGCCTCCACTTTTGTACGTATAAGCCATTTATTTGCATCCTATACGAATTGTTCGTTTGTATATATGTTTGTACATCACGAAAACAACTTTGAATATACGTGCATTCTGGTTGTCTGAGAGAATGTATATGTCCGAAAGATTGAAAACATTGGTGGTTCTATTGCAAATAACCATTTGTCGAAACATTAAAACAATATTAGATTTTTCTCAGTGTAGCTTTTCACACTTCTGTAGCATGAAATGTGTATATTGTGTGGCAAGCAAGCACAATGATACTCTATGACCAGGGAAGTAGAGAAAATTTCCAACCCGAAAGATTTCCTCCACCGGACCGGGAATCGAACCCGCGGCCTCCGGCTTGGGTGTGCCTTTACTGACTTCTGAGGCCCACACCCTAAACATATTTAAATGTGAATCAATGTTACACATGCCAAGCTTCAGCTTCTGGTGACCGATCTCAACACCATAGAAAAAGTACAGGTCATGGTCAAGGGTTGCAAAATTGGATCTCAAAAGATGGAGAATGAACACCAAGTAAAAGGACGCTTGATTCATCAATCATCAAATACAAGCTACGATCAAAGACGCGTAACGTGACATACAAACCAAATGACAAATACATCAACAATGTAAGTACAGGTCGGACTCGATTCTTGGTATTCCAAATTATTTTCTCATCCTCTTCGATAATCGAATCTTATGGATCATCGAATCAATATTTTTTAGTTTTATTTAATTTTTTTGTCATGGATTATCCTATCCGTAAAAGCATATCTAAAATTTGTTGTTTTTTCTTCAAAAGGGTGAAACTGACCATTTTTTTTATGAATATTAGAAAATTGTAGTTTTTACCTTGAAAAGAATGAAATTATTTTTTAATTTTGCTTTTTAAATCACGTAATCACGTTATATATTTTTTAAATTATTGTAATACACTTGAATAAAAAATGGGATAATCAAATCTTACAGATAATCGACTCCGACCTGCATTTGTTTCTTATGGGAAATTTAATGACATTTACTATGAACGACTGAAACGACCAGGCAGCCTTTTTTTTTTAAACGATATATTCTTGTAAAACCGTCATGGGAAGATTTTTAAGATTAAATGAATTGGTTAAAATCAACTTAATGCATAATCAGGGTCAATCCTTAATAAAGCTAAATAATAATAATAATCAGGGTCAACACAAATTTAATAGTATCCATTGAAAAATCTTCTGACTGATGGCGATTGAGTGCAACCGGTTTCAATTTGTTTGTATCTAACTCTCATAAGAACATAATGATTTTTACAGTCATACCTCGATATAGCGTAACTTTTTTTTTATATAAATAAGTTACGTTTTATCGAAACAATACAATAGTTAAATAAAAAAAACAACCAATTACATCCCGAAAAATTCAAAATACAATATTAACTTAGTTTAACGGCCTCAAAACCAGCTGCCAAAGAATTACACTGTGATAATTTTCTTTTAAATTACGCTATATGAACCAAAATTTACGTTATATCGAGGTTTCTACTTAAATCATACGAGCAAAGCAGGTGTCACCGATGTTAGAAGGGATTTTTCCGATAAAAATCAAAATAAAAAAATACATTGATGTTTTGATGTTAGATGTGGTACGTACACTCCCGATCATAAGTATGGGGTCACCCTTTTAAAAACATGTAAATGTTTTTGCTCATATCTCTGCCATTTTACGACCGATTTCCGTTATTTATAGGTCATTTGAAAAGTATTGGCTGAAATTTAGTTTGTAGGTAGCTGGTTTAATATATTTTACTAAAATTTTACAGGTTTTCTCAGAATTGCGCCGGTCAAATTTTGAAATGAAAGTGAAAGCAAATCCCTTATTTTATAACCATCGAGATATGTTTATGAATTTTTGGTTGAAAAATCTAGAATATGCTGTAAATCAATCAAATAGTTATTCAAGTCATTGCTCAAAAGTATGGTTTGTCACTGTTATAAGTTTACTTGGAAATTAAGTATAAATAAATGTTAAATATGTGGCTATATCAACGAACTAAGATCAATTCATTGCCTTTCCAATATTGCAAAGAGAATTAAAATTGGACAAAAATGGCAGAGATATAAACAAAACAACATTCCCAGGATTTGTTTTGAGGGTGACCCCAAACTTTTGAGCGATGACATGAATAAATATTTGATTGATTTAAAGCATATTCTAAAATGTTCAACCAAAGTTTCACAAATGTATTCGGTGAGTAAAGAATAAGGATTCTACTACCACTTTCACTTATAAATTTGACCGTCCAAAATCTGAGAAAATCAGTCATGAATATTCACAATTTATTTAAATAAATAAAATAAAATATATTACACCAGCTACATACGAACTAAATTTCAGTCAATACCTTTCAAAAGGCCTATAAATGTCTAAAATCGGTTGTAAAATGGCAGAGATATGAGCAAAACACCTTTACATGTTTTTTAAAGGGTGACCCCAAACTTATGATCGCGAGTGTATGTTGTTGGACCTATTTCATCTGTTTTTTTTTTAAAGTGCACTGTTTTAAAGGATGAACATTTGTTACTTAGGACCTTTTGAAAAATGATGCGAGAAACTTAGGATTTACAATTTTCTCCCCACTTGCTGTTTCGAATTTACATTACACAACATCTAATATGTCAGGCAAGCTAGGATTTAAAGCATATCATGCTGATGGCGGTGGGTATGATTTTGGTCTGATCGAGGATCATTTTTTAAGGGTTGAAGATTGGTTCAAAATTTGGTGGGGCAACATAGGTCACGGGACAAGATGGGCCATCTATTTGATTTTTTTTATATATATTTTTTATACTGTGAAAAAAGCATTGGGCTGCATTAAGCCTGTTGATTTTGGCAAACAAATAAATTAATAAATGTACTAGCTAACCTATCTTGCCTCATCTTTACCTATCATAGTGTTTACCATATAATATACGAACGCAACAATAGAACAGGCTTAGAAAACTCTCAATTAACAATTGTGGAAGTTCTGAACACTAATATGAGAGCAGGCGTTTAAGTCCGGACGTAATAGTCATGCAGAAGAAGAGTATCATTGCGGTACCTCTCGCTCTAGCCTAGTCAGTTTTGATGCGCTTTTCGCTAAGTTCCACGCTTATATATGAATCAAAAATGATAAACGCCTTGAAGCACCTCAATCGACCCCTCTGAAAGTGTTCAAGGATTTATTATTTGCAAACGATAAACTTGTGTCTGCAATTTACTTAGTTTTCTGATGACAGATAAAAACAATTAAAAAAGCCTCTATTCCTCGAATGTACAAACAAAAAATCCTCGGTGGAGATAAAACTCACCGCCTTTAGTTGGTATGTGTCACAAACGCATCGCTTGTTGAAGTTTTTGAGTGATCCGATTAGACGTAAACAATTTTGATGAATACTGAAATGGTCTGTGAAACCAGCTATTAGTTTAGAAGAATAGAATAAAACCTTAATATATGAGTTAAAAAGGATAAGTTAAATCATATGTTTCTCTCTCCTCACACCACCTCAACAGGGCTAAAACCGTACAAGTGTAGCACATGCGGCAAAGCATTCGCCCAACAAGCCAACATGGTTAAGCACCAGATGCTTCATACTGGTAAATAGACACACTTAACTTTTCCAGTACTAACCTAGATCGTAAAGGTAGAAACGAATAAGCATCACACAACAAAAGCTCAATCCTGATCAACTTGCTAAACATAGGGTTTCCTTTTCTCGCGTTTCTCAGGTATTAAACCATACAAATGTAGCACGTGCGGCAAAGCTTTCGCTCAACAAGCGAACATGGTTAAGCATCAGATGCTTCACACTGGTAATTTTTCACAATTTAGCTTTAAAAAAAATAGTTCCATGGAATTTTCAAAATCTTCCCTCTCTTCTGCTTAGGAGTGAAACCCTACAAATGCTCAGTATGCGGCAAAGCGTTTGCGCAGCAAGCCAATATGGTCAAGCATCAGATGCTGCACAGCGGTAATAGAACAGTCCCTGATGCCTAAATGCGGGGCCGTTTGTTTATAATTGCATTTCTTTATCAATTTCCGGTTAACACTTCGGGTCTGTGCAGGAATTAAACCATACAAATGTCCGACTTGTGACAAGGCTTTTGCCCAGCAGGCTAACATGGTCAAGCACCAGATGCTGCACACTGGTAAATAATAGTTTACTTAATACCACTACACTTTCTCTCACCATTTATGTGCCCGTCAGAGTTTAACATAACTTAGAAACCACTTTTTCTGTTACGTTTAATTTTTTTTTTCATTAACATTCCTCACTCTTGTGTCTGTCACGTAGTTTCTGTTACCGTTGATGAGCATCAGATCGGGTTTCTCCTCTAACAGTAAGCGGAAATTTGAATGGAACTTCGCAAAGAACAGCTTTAGCAATCGAAATCAGATATTCTCAGTTCAGAATCGAGTTCGATTTGATGCTCATCCGTTTCACCTTTCTTCTATTGCATACCATCGTAAGGTTTGAGCCATTTATGTTAATGTCCCACTTAATGTCCTACCTAGGTGAAAAACCATTCAAATGCAAGAGCTGTGATAAAGCATTCTCACAACGTGCCAATCTCAAGAAGCACGAGATGGTGCACCTCGGAATTCGTCCGCACACATGTCCACTGTGCTCCAAGTCGTACTCGCAATATTCGAATCTGAAGAAGCATTTGCTGGTGCACCAGAAGCAGTCGCTCAAGCAGCAACAGCAGAATGGACAAGTCATGGTGTAAGTATTTAGCCATGTTCGAATTCGTTTTTTGTTTTGTCGTAGCGTGATGACAAATTACACACATAGTTGAGTTACCGTGATAACATTTAATGTTTGGTTCATACTGATAGCAAGTTTATCAATACAAGCATTAACACTGGAGCAAGATTGTTTCTGAAACTGCATTTCCATTTCCTCCACCAGGATCCTTTACAACTGCCAAACCTGCAAGATGCAGTTTGAGAACATTCTCGAATTCGAAAGGCACACCAAGCAGTGCAACGAGCTCAACAATGGTAATCATGGCATGAAGCTGGAACACATCAACATAAAGAGCGAAATTGACATTGATGGTAGCTCCAACCCGGGAATTGCCCAGCACATCACTATACCTCACAGTCAGTCACAGCCTCCAATGCATATCCCGTCAGCTATTCTGACATCGGTGATCTCATCCTCGTCGACAATGGGCAACGGCCATATATTGAGTACGGCACATGTCCATCATCCTACAGTTGGCCATCCGCAGCATCCTCAGCAACAACACACACCTCCAGCTCAGCACCAACAGCAACAACAACAGCAGCAGCAACAGCAACAATCAACAGCTCATCAGCAGCAACATTCTCCTGTTACTCATCAGCAGCATCCGTCACTCCAGCAGCAGCACAATCTCCCTATCCACCTTCAGCAGCAGCTCTCACATCACCTAATATCCTCGCACCTTCCACACCAGGACCACGGTCCCAGTGATCTCCACCATCAGGTAAACTTCCACCATCCACATATTCCCCATATTTCGAACCTGCCACACAAGATCCTATCCCCGCTGTTCCACATCCCTCCATTCAATAACAATCACAGTACATAATGGAGCGTTCGGAGGGGATCCCTATCGAGTGGAGGATCTCTACAGGCTACCGTAGCAGCAACGACTGCAACAGCTGCAGTAAGTCCTACCACGTCCGACACTGGTGAAGAATCCGTAGACGAACAGTGGAAAGGTAGAACATCAACGGTTGCACTCCACCAGTCGCCACCTCAATAATGCTTGAATGCGGCAAGCAGTAACTCTAATCAAAACTAGATACGACAGCCAGGATGCAAGGTATAATGGCCCTACACTATTATAAGAATACTCAGAGAGTATTACTGATATAAAAAAAACAGCAATGGAAGTGTTGAAACAGTTCTGCTATTATTAGGATTTTATAAATATTCTACTACAACGTTGCAGTAGACAAACATGAACGAAGGCTTTCTCTTCTTAGTTTACTATTGATTCATACGAAAGGAACAACGGTTTAGTTGTTGACTAGGAATGTAAGGAACAAAGATGGAAATCTGATTGTTGATAAGCATGTTACTTATATTTGCGAATGTGGCCGTGCAAGCGAACCTTGCCTCTGTTTCGTCTTTTTAACGACATCTCTAGGGTTGTAGGATCGAGGGTGACGAACCTGTTTAGGGGGAGTCTCTGTTAATAGATGTTGATATAGGAAGGGCAAAGGAAGAAAAACGTGTTAGATAGGATACTGACAAATGGAGAAGAGGGGACGGAGCGACAGAAGAGACCAAGATAGAAGAGGGATTGTAGTAGATACGAGTTTCTGTTTCGTAATCATAAGCAACCTGATGTGATATTTTTCCCGGCGTGTGAAGCAGAGTTCTCTCGACTGCAACAATGCACACGGGTGAAGAAGAAAGGTTAAACTAGAAGGATAAAGGCGTAGAGAAAGGAGGGACAGTGTAAGGAAACCGATGTGTCATTTGAGGTGAGTTCGTTGTTTTTTTTTGCGATTTTAGTTTGCTTTATTTTATTTCTGACGGATTATGTTCTAGAAGATGTGAATATCGAATTTGGGTTGGGATTACTGTTGACTGTTCAGTAGTTTTTTTTTTTTCATTTTGGATTGGGAATTACTGTTGATTCAAATATACCAATATCAAGCATATAACCTGGTGATTGATTTGAAGGTGTTCTATGGCTAAATAACTCAATTCGCTATACAAACGTAGGGTAAGGTGGGACAAGATGGGTCAGCTAGTACATTTAATAATGTATCTGTTTGTCAATATCAACACGTTCAATGCAACCCCAACAATGGTTTGCTTTTTCAAACCAGCATTGGGGCTACATTAAGCATGTTAGTGTTGACAAACAAAATATGAATAAATCAAGTAGATGACCCACCTTACCGCACTTAGAAACTGCAATGTTAAGCTAAACACAAACTCAGTGCTTTCTACTGCACCTAGACAAAGAATGAACAACTCTCGTGAACGTAAGCAGTGTAGTTCAATTCTGAATAAGAAGCGGAGATTGAAGTTCAGTTATCGAGGAATAAATATTCTGAACTCAGCGTACAGAATAGCATCATGCGTTCTTTTTAACGGATTGAGACTGTTTGAGAAGTCCTTTGTTGGCGAATACTGGGCAATTTTTTTGAGAAGGCTGATGCATCCTGGATACATTTTTTGATGAATTCCGGGAATAAAATTGGCACATTCACCATCTTTAATTGATCGATATTGATTTCAAAGCAGCGCAGGTACGATTCAGTGAAGATTATTCTAGAACACGGTGTTCCGTTGAAGCCAATTAGATTACTTCTTGTAACGCTTTTTTCTACATGAATTGTATACAATTCGGAAAATCATCTCATTTCCCCGAAGGTACTCGTAACTCATTTCAGTCACAATCAAGTTCGTGCAACTTGAGAATGTACCTTGTCTACTGTGGCATAATTGGCAATATTAAAACTACTTACCTGCTAAGGACCGTTATTAATGTATCCACTGACTATCTTTTTGACGAGTCCTGCAACAAACAGAAAGCATTGAAAGTTAGAATGTTCATCATCTTGCTTTGCTATACACAAACCACACAATTTCGACTGAACAGAACAACCTAACCACTTAGCACCTAGTTCGATATTCATCTATCCGCACTTTGAAAACGAAGGAAAAATTTCAACAGTCCAACAAATGATCAGTGTACATAAACATTGCGTAATATACTAGCAGTAAAAGTATTAGAATACACAAATTTAGGTTTACACATAAAAATTAAAAGAAAAGCGACAAACAGGAACCAGAAGTCATTGCAACCATGTGAAAGAAAATGGGAAAATTTGAACAGTAACGATCATAGCTAGTGATAAGAGCATACAACTAGACATTACACAGACACTGTAGCAACAGCAGCGGCAGCAACAACAAATGCAAAGCACATCAGCACCCGAACCTAATCTAGTGTTTGTTTTGCCATCATGGATTTTAGATATTTTGTTTTGTGATTTACACACGCTTTGGTATAACGAAGTATCTATACCTCCATAAATGAACGAACGTTAGAAAAAAAACTACAACGCGACAGCAAGAGTTAGTTTTTGCACCTATCCAATACTTACACTAATCATGTATATGGCTAGCTCATACGAGTAAATATCGTAGAGGTTATAAACTACCAAGATGAGAAGAATTAAAGTTCGGGCTACAGTTCCTAAAAATCATAGATTCAGAACCGAGAAGTGACAGAATACAGCGAACGCAACAAATTATGAAAAAGCTAAATCTCAAAAACAACCATGAAAACATTAGTAACGCTATTGTAATTAGCTTTAGTATTCCAATTAAATTCTTTTAGTCAACCAGCCAATTTCGCCTTTAGGTTTACGATCTCGTAGGAATTTACTTCGACGTATGTGGTTTTATGATCTCACCACACACACAAACACACGCCACAAACATCCGTTTATCCTTGTGTATAACTTGATTTTGTCATTCTTTTTTTTCAAACAAGGAAAAAGTAAAATATTTGCCATTTTCTGATAAACAAAAAGAAAGATCCAGAAACTATTTGCTCCTATTTGTGCTAGTCTTCAAAAGAATGAGAAACCAAGTAATGCTTAATACGAAAACTCGTAGGATTATAATATGTGACTAAACTGATAAAAGGAATGAATTTATTCACCTAATCACTCTAATAGCAGTATAGTTTTACATCTATCTAGTAACAAAAGAATAAATTTAATCTCCAAGCCAGAGACTGCTTCAGTGGTGAATGGTAAAGGAAACGGTAAAGCGATCCAATGAATGGGGGACCACCAGTCAGTAGTGTCCCTCGCTCGAGAACATCATACTTAAGGATTGTTTCGTCCCGTTTCCCACAGAAAACGACTGAGAGGTAAAGATTTCGCTTGAAAGTGCTTTTAACTACGTATAATTGTAAAAAAATAATAATGAACTGACGGACCTGCACGGTGCACGATCTTGCGCATTCATATTTACAAAAGCATACTCAAAGGTCTTCCACTTGTGGCGTTCTAACAAAGCTGACGCATTACTTTCCGTTAAATGCTAAATTCCACTACCGTGCAGGCTTACACGCATTGATATGACTCGTGAGTGTTTCCCTCGAACAATTGATGCAGAATAGGTTTTATTTGATCTTCAAATTCAGGTTTAGGTTTACTTTTACTAACACTTAGTGAGTAGAACTCGTGCTGTGGGGTGATCCTTCGATCCGAAACATTCGCGCTAATTTCTATGATCATTCAGTAAGGGAATCCCTATCTCCGATCAGGATCACCCAACCACTAAAAATGATAAGAAGCAAACACACACACATACATACATGAAACATATACGTATAAGACTTAGGACTCTAAACAATTGGTTATAATTACAGCTATTGGTCACTATTGGATACTGGTAGCGATTAAACTGTATGAAAATAATTACACAGAAAATGAGTAATATTAGAAAAAAAAAGAAAGCCAAGAAAAAAACGAAACTCCATTAGCATTAATCAAAAACAATATTTTAACCCTCCCCCTCCCCCAAATCAATATCGACACAAACATACAAACAAAATGTGAGAATCGGAAAGATCAAAACCACAATGATAAAAAGGTGATAGACGGGGTATAGAAAAGCCGGATTTTTGTTTAAATTGATTTGTTGTGAGAAAATATAAAAGTGCTTGAGGTCCACAAAGTGCGTTTCCAGGGCAGGAGTGCTTCTAAGAAGAATTTCCTGCGCAGGACGTAATCCACATATACAAACACAAACAGACACACACACACCTATATACATATGGCTGTTGATAGAAGAGCGTGTATGTGTTACCTATTATTAAACTGAGCTCTGAAACGCAAGTAAGTCTATGAGCAGTTGCACGAAGGACATGATAGAGAGAAGAAAAGAAAAAGAGTCAGTTTGAGAGAAGAGCAATGCTGTTAAAAACAGTTTTATTTAGCTATACAACATTCAGTGCAAATGAAAGGTAAAAAAGCAACTCCACAAGGAAAAGAAGGAGATAATTTTTTAATGAACAAGATAGAAAGTAACACTTTTTATATTGTTTTTTAGATGAGTCAAAGTTAGAGAAAGAAGAGAGAGAGATAGACAGTTGGTGCGAGACAAGGGAAAAAAGAGAGTTTAATTACGTTGACAGGTTACGCCGATTCATTACGCAGTGCGACACATGATTCATAGTTTAAGTTTGAACCTCCCAACTACTATCCCAGTTTATTTGTTTGTATACCAACACATAATGTTAGACCACACACTACTTTCACACGAAACAATTTGTTCACGCGAACAAAAGGCAATAGTTTTGATGACATGTTTCCTTTTTTTTTACTCTTCTGCAGCGCTGCAGCACAAATGTTTTCGTTATATCAATTTGACACATGAAATAGTTTAGATTTTTCACCTTTTTTATACTCCTTCCTATTATTACTACGATACACAATCAAATAAAATTTACATATAGAAGCTTATAGTAATTAATAACGGGCAATATTTGACTGAATGAATCCGAAAATTTTCCCATCTCACATTCTTTGTAGTGTACTATAGATCCTAACTTACCAGTTCGTTCATGAAAAACTTCCCATAACAATTCGACTGCTCTGTGCGATAGATCTTGGAATTCAGTCCAGTAGTGGTGTCCGTACAAAGCAGTTTGGATAGCGAGGATTGAATCTGTTCAAAGGAAATTCGATTGTTATGCCCTTCGCTGCCTTCCTTGGAATGATCCAGAGAACCTTCCGCCCTGCGACGATCGTTGTCAACTCCTGGGTCTTAACACTCTTGAACGTAGACGGATGATTACTGCACAGGTGAAAAATTGAATCGACTTCCAAGGACAGCATCACAATGAGGCCTATTCTGCGCCGCCAGTGAGATGAGGTGACTCGCTGTCTCTGAAATCATATGTACCAGCGAGTCAGTCGTGAATTCTTTTCAAGTTTCCAACGAGGCATCCAGCGTAAACTTAAGCTACTCTCGAAATCCTTTTAGAACTACGTTAACGAGCAACGCAGGGAGTCCGGTCTCCCATCGTATATGGAATTCAATCGAGAAGTTGCAGCCACCGCTCAGGATATATACCGCCTTTTTCCGACAAGTTTGCTCCGCTATTACGTTCTTACAAAACAACAACCGATAATATTTAGCTATGACCTGCTCTCTTTATTGTTCGCTAGTTCGATCAACGCTTGATTCCGTTTCGATTACCCAGTTACGAAAGCCGTTGTCAATTTATCGACCTAGAACCTCTCCGGACTAGAAGGGACACTAGCAGGCCCTAACCGTGGGCGATATGCTACAGGGAAGGACATATTGCAAGGCTATTCTGAGGCAAATTGACCTGAATGTTCAAGACCGCTTTGCAACAACCTTTTGCTTATACTGTCTCTACGTCGCACAATTTATGGAGTATGCGGACTGCAGAGAGCATTCAACAGAGTTGCATCTGACACGAATGACCATAGCAAAAACAATAAAATTTCTGACCAAAGCACACTACTGACATCTGGCTCCGTGTTCGCGGGAAATGTTTAGCTGAGCCATGAACCCGCATGCAAAATTTATGACTTGGTTTGTGTCTGATCTATTCTGGACAAATTATTTTTATCTAGATCAAAAAATCGCATTGTTTTGACAATTCGGATCACCGCACATTTAAATCGGCTGTTTACGATTTCTGGGCATAAGTCAGAATTAAGTGTCATGTCGGTTTGTCAGTGGATCCAGAATGGATTAATCTTCAGTAATAAATACATTTTTAAAATTAAGAGGCTTCAAATGATTTTTTTTTTGTTCTAAAATATGCACATTTCCCACAAATTTTATAAATTGTGTACTGAAAAGTTATAATACTTCAAGACATTTTCAATAATTTGGAGTTAAATTCATTGCACAGTTTTAAGGCTCAAGAAATTTTAGTATAATTTCTAAGGACCTCATTCCACGGGAGTTCTGGGAAAAAAATCTATGGGAAAAACATCAACTGCAATTTGCTTTCATGGTACTTCTGAGGAATTTTAGACTTTATGTGAAGTCTAAGCCTAAGACAGTAAACTCCAAGCGAATTTTCATGAGAAATCTCCGTTGAATATGGAATGCACTATTCTGAGGTTTTCATAACTATTTGAAAGTTTCCAAAATATTCCTGCCTGAATTTATTTTTTTTATTTTAATAATTCGTTTATTTTTCCAGGCTCATTTGCTGTAGCTTTGCGGAGCCGATATTCATTGTTTAGATAAGAAAATTACTTAAAACTAACGTTAGTAAAGCGGGGGCCGATTACTCGCGGCTATCTCGAGGTTAGGGGTAACAAATGGATGGCAGGGTAGGGATTGTGAACACAAGGTTTGGAGAGCAATGTGCTCTTGATCTCGAACTAGGCGACACTCTGATGAAAAAGACAAACATGGGGATACACCGATGGGCAACTAACAACTTGGCAGAACACAAGATGACACTAACTACTAAATCCTCAAATCTATCCGTTTTAAAAACTCGCCAAGACATCTCTAACGGGTATCGCGGGTTGTTTTCCTCGGGCCCTGAGGGATATGGATAACTCAGATCTGGCAACACGGTGTAAGGTACATGACCAAACAACATGCTCGATATCGTGATAACCACTGCCACACGCACATAAATTGCTGCCTGAGAGCCAAATTCGATCGAAATGCGAGTCTAACGAGCAGTGATTGGACAAGCCTTGATATAACGCGTATAAAGTCGCGGCTCATGTCCAACCCTTTGAACCATCGGTCGACAACGATAGCGCCAGGATAAACGGTGTTTTCTCCTGGGAGGAACTACAGTTTGCGCTCAGTAAGAGCAAGGGCAAATCGGCGGGTCCCGACGAACTCGGATACCCCCTACTTACACATCTACCGATCGAAGGCCAAGTCCGTATGCTTGAGCTCTTCAACGAACTTTGGACCACCGACTCCTATCCAGCATCGTGGAGGGAAAGCCTAGTCATTCCGATCCCGAAGACTAACGAAACAACGAAAGACGCGACGAAGTTCCGGCCCATTGCCCTCACCTCCTGCATGAGCAAGGTGTTCGAGCGGATGGTGAACCGGAGATTGAAGACCTTTCTGGAGACGAATAGCTTGCTCGATCACCGGCAACACGCCTTCCGTCAAGGATGCGGCACCTCTACCTATTTTGCCACACTGGGAGACGTGCTGAAAGATGCCTTCGACCAGGGACACCACACCGAAATCGTTTCGCTTGACATCTCCAAGGCTTTCAACCGAACCTGGACTCCGGCCGTGCTTGCCCAACTCGTCCGTTGGGGACTTAAGGGACACATGGTCCACTTCGTTCGGAATTTCCTCACCGACCGCTCCTTTCGCGTCGCCATTGGTAACGCCAAATCCAGCAGCTTTCGGGAAGAAACGGGGGTCCCCCAGGGATCCGTGATCTCTGTCACGCTTTTCTTAATTGCGATGAACGGTGTCTTTAACCGGCTACCCAAGAACGTGCACATTTTTGTGTATGCCGACGACGTACTCATCGTGGTAACCGGGCCCACCACAATCCGCACCAGGAACATAGCGCAAGCTGCCGTCACAGCCGTCGTGAAATGGGCCGAAACAGCTGGTTTCCAGCTCTCGGCCAGGAAAAGTGTTAGATGCCACGTCTGCCCGTCCCGACACAGGGTAAGCGGGGCCGCCATCAAGATCGCCGATCAAGCTATCCCCGTTAGGAACTCCGTTCGGATTCTGGGTGTTCTGGTGGACCGCACGTTGTCTTTCGTGCCCCACTTCAACCAGGTAAAGAAGGATTGTAGAAGCAGGGTCAATCTGGTCAGGACCATTTCCAGGCCACACCGATCCAACAACCGGGCAGTTCGCTTCCGTGTCTCGCAAGCCATCATCGACAGCCGGCTGCTGTACGGAACCGAACTTACGTGCATCGCATCGGAGAAGCAGGAGGAAATTCTTGGCCCGACTTTCAACAGCTGTATCCGGATCATTTCTGGTCTCCTACCTTCCACCCCCGCAGATTCTGCGTGTGTTGAAGCAGGGGTTCTACCCTTTCGGTACCGCATCATAAACGCCACGCTGTACAAAGCTGCATCCTTCGCCGCCAAAACAGCAGGGAATGGCAGAGTCTTCCTCCTCGACGAGGGGGATAGAATCATGCAATCGATCGCCAGCATCGACCTCCCCCCGGTGGCTAGGATCCACTGGCACGGAGAGAAGAGTTGGCTCTCTTCCAAACTCATAATCGAAAACGCGATCAAGAATCGATTCAAAGCAGGAGACAACTCAGTAGCCCTACGTTGCACAGTAGCTGAGCTTCTCAGGTCCAAGTTTACCGATTTCACCCACCGGTACACCGATGGTTCCCGATCCAACACGGGCGTTGGCATCGGAGTATCCGGAAGTGGCATACTCGTCAGCAACAGCCTACCACCGCAGTGCTCCGTTTACTCGGCAGAAGCGGCCGCGATCTTCCACGCGGCCACTTCACCAGCTAATCAACCAATTCTCATTTTAACAGATTCGTACAGCGCTATCCAGGAGCTCTGCTCGGCAACTCCCACCCACCCGTGGATTCAGGCTACTGTCAAGTACGCACCCAGTAATACCGTTTTTGCGTGGATACCCGGCCACTGCGGAATTCCCGGAAACGAGGCAGCCGACCAACTCGCTGGAACTGGACCGTCGGGTCCCAGATTCACCGACAAAGTTCCCCTCCAGGACGTCAGACGGTGGATTAAGGCCACCGTTCGGAAGGCATGGACCGACCAATGGGCCAGCACTCGAGGGCCTTTCATCCGGAAAATCAAGGGAACCACGGAGGCATGGACGGACCTCCGAAACCTACCGGACCAGAGGATACTCTCGAGGCTGAGAACTGGACACTGCCGTCTATATCTCAACTTCGGCGGAGGACCCTTCCGCAGGAGCTGCACTATTTGCCACCTTCCGGCAACCGTCGAACACCTACTGTGTGTCTGCCCGGAATTCCAGGACCTCCGGGAGACTTATGGGATTACCTCCAGCATCCGGAACCTGCTCGGAGAGGACTCGCCTGCTGCCGACGCCCTCCTGGTATTCCTGAGGGAGGCGAATTTGTATCATCAAATTTAGTCCGTTTTTGTAGTCAGTTGCTAGTTTCAGTTTTTTGTTTGTTTGTATTCTGCTAGCTGTCGGGACGGCACCGGACGGGATGAGCCTTTGGACCTCGTCACGGTGTCGTCTCGTTCAGGTCATCGTTCCATGTGTTTTAACTTGTTTTTTCGCGAAGAGCCAGGAAAGCTGTATTTTACAGTTTTCAGTAGCAGGAGGGACACCACATGGGATGAGTCTTTGACCCTCATGATGGTGGTCACCCTAGATAGTCATTAAGGAAAACGATCAAATTGTTATTCTAAAACTCTGTCAAACAACTCCGTAGGAGGTTCTCCTTCTGAGGCCTCACCCATGACTAAAGAGATGAACTAGCCTCAGGCTAAAAATCTCTATAATAAAGAAAAAAAAAAAAAAAAAAAAACCTTTGAACCATGGTTTGTTCGACACCTGTGGGAGAATAGAATGTAACCATCTTCCCAATTCACCATCATTCCATTTTTGTTGCCAACTGATGAGGACTTGCGGACAAGCAATGGAGAAAAATTCGTTGAAGGCGATTTGTCGCTCAAAAATATCGCCTTCGATAGCGCCCACCTTAGCCAATGAGTCCGCTTTCTCATTACCCGGAATTGAGCAATGAGATGGGACCCAAGTTAAGGTTATAATATAGGAGCAGTTAGATAAAGCACTCAGTTTAGATCGTTTTTCAGGCAGGAAATACGAATAGCCTCCAATGAGCTAAGACTATCCGTAAAAATGAAATGATGGTCAGAAGGTAGTGAGGCAATTCGCTCTACTGCGTAAAATATAGCTGCAAGTTCCGCAACGTATACGGAGCATGGTTTCTGCAGTTTATAGGAGGCGCTATGAAATTGATTAAATACACCAAATCCAGTGGAAGCATTTATGGTTGACCCATCTTTGAAAAATCTTTTATGGTGGTACTTGATTGCAAAAATTGAGGGAACAACCATCGACCGATGGTGATCTGGTATTCCATGGATTTCTTGCATCATGGTCAGATTAAAATTTACAGAGGAACTATAGAAGGCTTGAAAGCAATCACGATTGGAGATTAATGAAGAAGGACCAATCTCCAGCGTCATGTACTCATAGTACAAACTCATGAATCTTGTTTGAGGATTTCGGTCGAGCAGCTTCTCAAAGTGTTCTATTACCAAAGGATTCAATACTTCACAACGGATGAGAAACCGGAAAGACTTTGCCAGTCGATGTTTTTCGTGAGGTCGTACGCGATTTCAACCGAGCGAGTGGAAGATGAACCATTGGTAATAGAAATTATGATTGGCAAGTGGTCACTACCGTAGCAATCCAACGATAGTGAACTCGAACTGAAGGAGAGGTCAAATCTACTTTCTCTTGCTGGAGGTTTGGCCACTCGTGTTACTTCCCCAGTGTTTAGAATTGTCATATTGAAGTTATCGCAAAGGTCGTATATCAGGGTTGAGCGGTTGTCATCGTACAGTTCCCCCCAGCCTGTACCGTGGGAGTTAAAATCTCCTAAGATCAACCGAGGCTCAGATAAAGCTGAGCAGATATCTGAGAGACCTTGGCGAGAAATTGCAGTTCTTGGAGGAAGATATACTGAGGCTTTTACCTCGAATATTTACCTGGCATGCGACAACTTCAATGCCTGTCACGGAAGGCACATCGATTCTATGAAATCCATTCCTTATTAATCCCGAGAAGCACCCCTCCATACGAATCTGCTCGATCAAGGCGAATAATGTTAAAATCGTGGAAAGGGAGATCGGTGTCTGAAGAAAGCCATGTTTCACAAAGAGCAAATGCATCACAAAGTGAGTTGTGAAGTAAAAATTTGAATGGTTTACTGTAATGTTGTACTACCATGAATTTAATTGTACTGTTCTAAAAATGTTTATGCTTGCGTGAACTTGTGGCCTGAGAACCTGTGAAAACCTAAGTAATTTTCTAAGTTCACTGAAAATCTGGGAACTTCTTGAAATTTCCCGCTAATTTAGTGAAACTAATGGAACTGAACTCCCCTGAACTTCCCTTTGTTTTTGGAGATTTACAAAACTTATTTGAGATGCTCCTGAAATGTCCATAAAAGTTCCTGAAGTTCTCGAAATGTTTCTGAAGATCTCTGTACTGAAGTTTTCGAAGTTATTCTGAAATTTCAGAAACTTCTGTAGGCTTCCGGAGTTTCTGTTGGCGAAATAATATATATATATAGTTCAATGATTTTCACTGAAGTTCTCAAGATTTGTCTGAAATTCAAATAATCGAAACTAATTCATAACTTCTTCAATAGTCTAGAGTTTCCTGATGTTTTTAAAACTGCCCAAAATATTTCTCAATTTGCTTAATATTCTCTAGACTGCCCTGCTTAGGTTTTTTTTTAAGAACCCACCGTTTTACTGGAATTGATTTAATTGCCTTTAAGTTCTGCAATTTACCTCAAGTTTTATATAGTTTTTAAACACTCAAGTAACTTTGCCTTAAATCACTAATTTTCCCAGCAAGAAGTTTTCTATGCTTACCTTAATTTCTCTAAATTGATCACATTTTCCAATAAATTTTCTGATATATAAAGTTGAAGATGCTAATTTCAAATAAACAGTTTCAAATAACAGTGGTAATTTTTATACGATAGATGAGGAGGAGATGAAAGTATAGAATTGATAGTTCCGTTTAGAGTACGGCAGTGTGAAAATTGCATAAAGAGAGTAAACAGCGAGCTAGGACAACTTTTAGGAAGGTACAAATCGGTTTTATCATCTCTCTTTACCAAACTCCCCCTTTGGAGAGGGATGGTGAGGGGTGTCCCCTTCCCCGCCACCACTGGCAAAAAGAGATGATCTTTTCAAACACATCGTTGGTACTTGAGCATTTGTACTCCATTTTTACCCTATAACTTCGTTTAATTGAGAGATAGAAAATTGTCGTCTTGGACAAAGTTTCTTAAAATGACTTCATCTACAATGATTCCATAGATGTTCATCAATTTTAACAAGACTTTAAAAAAGTTGAAGATGTTAAGTTTCAAACAACAGACTTACCGTAAGCGTGATAATGTTTGCACTACCGTTAAAATAAGGTTCCCGTTTCACCTGTGCATACAATGCCATGATTTTCTTTGCATACACGTAACATATAGCTCATACCGTAGTTGGCTGTGTATAAAAGAAAATGATTTACTTAGTTTGACAGTTGCACCATGACGAAGTGGCAGCGTATTCGTGATTTGTCCCACGCGCAAATGTCGCAAAAAGACATTTCAATCGCCGTGGGAGTGTCCCGGTGGACCGTCAAAAGGGTTTTAGACCGAGAAGAGAAAGGACAACTATCCGCAAAGGTGACCACAGGTCGTCCGAGGTCAGCTCGGGTTCCGAGGGTTATCGCTGCTATCAAAAGGAAGATTCGGGTGAATCCAGTGCGTTCAATAAGGAAAATGGCAAAGGAACACAGGATCAGTGACTTTACGGCACGGAAGATCGTAAAGGAAGATTGCGGGGCGAAGTCGAGGGCACGGAAAAAAAAAGTCACATGATAACCAACCGCATCCGGGAGCTACGAGTCGAACGATGCAAGAAAATCTTGAACTTCCTTAAGCGAAAAAATCCGGTAATCCTGTTCACCGACGAGAGCATGTTTACCGTCGATCCCGTATTAAATTCTAGAACCGTCCGGTATATTAGTTCTCTTCCGGTAAAAGACGTGGCCGACGAGCACAAGAACGTGTATCTGACCAAGCATCCTGTTAGCGTTATAGTGTTTGGATTGGTGGCTTCCGATGGCAAAAAATGGACCCGGTGTTCATTCCAGAAGGCGCAACACGGAGGTCTACATCAGGATTTTAGGTAAGTATGTTCTTCCGTGGATCAAAGAACAGTACGGTCCGAAGCCAAATGTTCATTGAAGTTTGTATTGCCTGAATTTCATGGGACTTCCCCGAAGTTCGAAGGACTTTTTTTACAATCTTAAGAATTCCCTGAAGTTCGGAGTTTTTTAAAATTTATAGGAATTTCTTAAATATCAGAAGTTCGTAAGACTTCCTTCAAGTTCGAAGAACTTTGTCGAAGATCTGAGGACTTCCCTGAAGTTTGAAGGACTTAACTGAATATATGAGGCCCCTAAATTTAGAAGAGCTTCCCTGAAGTTCAAAAGGCTTTAAATATCGAAGGGTTTTCCAAAAGTTTGCGGGTCTTTCCTTAATTTCTTGGAAATTCCCTGAAGTTTGGAGAGCTCCCATGAATTTCGTAGGACTACCTGTAGTTCAATCGGCTTCTCGGAAGTTCTAGGAACTTTTTTGAGCTTGGAGAACTATGTTAAGTTCAGAGGACTTCCCAAGAGTATTGAAGACTTCTCTGAAGCTCGGAAAAAATCCATAAGTGTCATAGGATTATCTTTAAGTTTTAAGCAATGCCTAAATGTCGTAGAAGTTACATTAAATCGGTAAAAAATTCTGTAAAACTCGTAGTTATTCCCCAAAGATTAAAGGACTTCCCTGAAGTTCGTAAGACTTCTCTGAAATTTGTAGAACTTCTCTGAAGGTTCGGAGAGATTTCTTGACCGTCGTAGGTCACCACAGTAGTTCACAGGATTTTCCTGAAACTTGTAAGACTTTCCCGAATTTTGTGGAACTTGCATGAAGTTCGAAGGCCTTATCTGAAGTTTTTAGAAATAGAACTTTTTTATTAAACATGTTGAACAGGTACTTCAAAGTAGCTACGCGTCGGCACTGCTTAAGTCTGCTATCAATTAAGCACAAATCATACTTGCAATTGATTCGAGAAAAAAAAATTAAATTAACAATAATTAACATTAATTCCCGTCTTTTTCCCGGTTTTCCTGGTTCACTTGCCACCCTGGCCAGAGCATGAGATTACGAAAACAAACAGATTGTCGCGCACAACGACAAAAAATAAACCAAAATGACTACATTAGTCCAAGACATTAGTCCCATATGGACAATAGAGTGGGTTCAGTTTGTAAGACGGATAACAACCCCCTGCTCCCCACTGCTCATTCGATCTGTATTGAGGTCTCCACCAGCTGTGTTTTTTTTATTGATCATTGTTATTTATTGAGTGATGCCGGACATGAAATAAAGGTAATATTTGCATCAGCCAATAATAAAGGATTTCGGTAGTTTTAGTTTTATAAATTGGTCACTCACATCAGGTGTAATAATGAAGGATTTCGGTAGTTTAAGCTTTATAAATTGGCCACTATTAAATTGTTTAGGATTAAATTTCGTAATATTATTCTTATGTTCTGTAATTCTGATTAAAGTACTCTCTTTACTTCGCTATCATATACAATCATAGTTCGTAGTATAAATGAATAAATAGTTTACACTGTCTTAGAATTTACTGCTGCGCTGTTTCGAGTATGAAGCCGATAGTCGTGAGTATGGACAGCATGTGCCTACACATCGTTATGCTTTTCATTTCTTCAAGCAAGTTGTAACGACTATTGTTTCACTTTTGTTGCTTCAACAATAACACGCAGCTTCAGATTGAAAATTCGTTATCGTTATTTTTCTTTTATTTATCGTACAGTAAATCTTATGCCTCAAGATCATTTGGTGCAATCATAGGAATATCAGATTTGAGAATAAATTCAAATAAAACAAAAGTGAGAAATTGATCTACGCATTATTTATAAGGGGTTTTTTTTCTATGCACACTCTAACCCAACTCCGAAATCTGTGAAATGTATCAATGGATTTGTCCCAAGGATAAAATCATGTGTCTGTAGTCCATGTTATATAACCTGAATTGTTTTAGATCATTCAATATGCAGAGAACACCAATTTTGGGTAACGTTGCAACCTGATTAAAGCTGTTAAACTTGGCAAATTTTGATTATATATATTCATAAATTTATAATTCATGCAGTCGGGATGGATCACTCTTTGGAGCATCGTTTTTACTATAGAAAGCTAACGTTAAATTCAGTTGAATTGTTAGTTAATCCATCTTAACATTGATAGATTAGTGTTAGTATGCTCCCGATCAAACTTCAAAAATTCACTCGGGTGCTGCACCTTCCGCCAAAAAAGAGAGTGTGCCTCTAGCGTAGGAAAATTTTGAGGTTAATATATCTATTTTAAAATGGATTAACTGAAAATTCAACTGGACTTAACGTTACCTTTCTATACTAAATAATAATAAACGATGCTCCAAAGAACGAACCATCCCTGCATGCAATAATTTCATTTACCATGTGAAGATGTTTTATAATTTTAATTTCCACGATTCAAAATGGAGTTTGGATTTTCTTTAAATCGAAAAATTAGTCAACTAGGTAGATATATTTTCTTTCCAATAACTTTAATCGGTGTAAATTGTGTGTCATTCCAAAGTGAAGGGCTAAACTGCCAAGCAACAACATAGAAGTGAATAACTTTTATGCTCAACTCAACTGAAGCGTGCCACATTTCTGGTAGTAAATTCGGATTCGCCGAAACCAAATTCATTAAAAAAGCATCGGTTGATCCTTGGGACAGACCATAACGTCATTTCTGTTATTCTGTGTTACACAAAAAACAAAACAAAAAACGTTCGGAAATGGAAGCAAATTAGCCTCACATTTCTATCCTACAAGGAAATTCTCACACGTCGTTGGGACGCACAATATAACCCTACTACGACAGGGGACAACAAGGTGGGCGTTATGGAGGAATAATTGTAATATCTCAGTTTTCGTTCATTTACCTCTAGGCGTTCACTAAAATCTATCTCCATCTCGTCGCTGGCTCACGCGTCGGTCGGGAAGAAATCCTTCAGCAGGGTAGTTCTCCGTTTCTCCGCAACGTCCATCTGATTTTCGAGATCACCCCGGTCGGTGGTTTCCGCGCGTTCCACCTTCCACGAGAGGTTTTCGATCTCCGCTTCCAGTTGAGCCTGTTCGGGGTGGGAGAATGTTAGATTTTGCACACGTTCGAGTGAGAGCCACAATGTAGTTATTACCTGTTGGTACTCGAAGAGGTCCTTGCGGGAACCAGGTTCCATGAAATAGGCATACGGATAGGTATATTGAAGCGTGTACCGACATTTGGCCAGTAGAGCGGCGGCATCGAATAGATACTGCCAGTCGATCCAGGTTCCGAGACCTTTCATGACTTTCTCGTTGATGCGAGTCTTCATACGGTCCAGTGTTTGTTCCTCTAGTTGAAGCGACTTCGAATGGTTCTCCCAACGTTCGTAATAATGAAGGTACTTTTTTAGTGCTTCACGTGCCTATGGTAATAGGAAGAGAGTATTGAAAAAAGCTATTCTGTGCTAGATCAAAGCTAATGTAAATACCTGCGCATGCACGGATTCGTGGGCAATGTTCGGATTTTCCTTATATCGCGAACATTCGTAATACTCCGACCCATGCGCCTTCCAATCGCCAAGGCACATCCAGCAGAAGTCGTGCTTGCAGTTAAAGCATTGCATATGATTACAGCCGCCGTTTTTTTCGATGCAAATGTGACACTTGGGACAGTCCTTCGTGTGGGCACTGATGTAGTTGGCCGTTTCGCTGTCGTCGGCACATTTGGTTAGCCACTTACGGATGATTTGGCAATCGGTTGGCGCATGATAGTCGGTACCACAACGGAAGCAAAAAGAACTTGTACACACCTTGCAGGTGGCTTTCTTCGGGCTGATGTCCGAGCTGCGGATGATTATCTGAAATGGAATTTTATTAACTGACTTGGATAACATTAGACTTTGCGGATTTAAATTACCTGGCAATTTGGACCGGGACAAAACCGTAACTCCGGATGCGACTTGACGTAGTCGGCAAAGGCAAATTGCTGGTACTTGTCTCTCACCATAGGCCTGTTCAGTAGATTGAGCACGAGATCTTCTGGCACTCGAACATCGCATCGTTGTTCCATGCAGCCAATCTGAATGGAAATTCCCTGACTAATTTGAATCTCAAAGTGCATCGCCCAACAGTCGCGGCAGAACGAATGCTGACATGAAAGATTATGAAATTTGTCCACCGATTGGACGGTAACACAAACTGGGCACAGGTGTGTTCGATACGTGGATGATGGCACCGTTTGGAGGGATATTTTCGCACTGGTACCAGGAACGGGGGTCGCTGGAATCATACCGGGAACTGGAAGCACTGTACTGGAACTACTGGGACCCAGCAGGGCACCGACGGAAGAAGTGGATGCGATTGCCCCGGGGGCAGCTTTGATACGGGCACTAACTAAAAGGTTGGATGCGTTGTTTCGATACTTTTCCACGACCTCGGCAGTGTTCCATTTGGTCTCGTGCAGTAGCACCTTTGCCAGCGAGGGTGTGATATGGAGCTGATTGCTGAGCTTTTCAACCGATTCGTTGAGCAGCTTGTCCACCTCCTCGACGTTGAGACATTCGTACACAAAATACTCCGGATCAGCGCGCTTCGGATCAATCTGCTCGATGTCGCAGTCTTCTAGGCCTGCCGGAGGAAAGGAAAAAAAGACAGTACGTTAGTGAAATGAATACATGATACGTAATTCACCGCTATTCTAGTGTTGTGTATTCAAAGGAACTTTGACCACTCCGGGAATTTGTCACATCCTCTGATTGCATCAAGCGCATATTAGTCACCAAACGCGTGAACCGTTAAACGGCGATCATAATTCAAAGTTGAAATCAAGAATGACAAAAAAAAACAGCACAGCAGTCTTACTGTAACAATGATAGCGAACGGAGTTTTGCAGTTGCTGGTGATCCTTATTATTATAGATTCAGTGTTAGCTACCGATCGATGGATCAAGCTGCCTTCCGAAAGTAGAAAGAAACGATCAACGTTGACAGATGACCAGGGGCCTATTTGCAATTACCGTGAAAGCGTACCTCCGCTTTTGGAAAGGTCCTGTATGTAAGTATGAAGAATACATCTCCAATTTAAAAGAGACTAAGATCTTATTTTGTTTTAGCACAACGGGACTTTGCCCTTATGTGGATCAGAATCTAATACCGCCAGGACATCGTGCCGTCTGTAAGCAGCAATATATTGGCGTCAGTAGTAGCCGGTACGATTCCAAACAGATCAAATACGTGGAAGCTTCGAATCTCAAACCAATCAAATCTGGCTGTGTGTGTTTACTAGAATCAACCGATGTGCAAACGGTTCGAACGTAAACAATAAAATGGATGATAATAACCTTCAATTAAAAATCTAAACACCCTGTATGTTAAGTCCTGTGGCGCCATATCATTCCCGCTAGCTTGTATTCTAATAAGGCCACCCACTACATAATTGGCGAAGAGTGAACCCTAAAGGAGGAAAATCGTTCCTATGGACACGGCAAGTGAAAAAAGTCACTGAAACTGCCAGGACAAAGCCTGACTTCAAGAGTTTGGGAAAGAAGACCACATTTCACTAGATGGAACAGAAGATTGAGAAGAACAGATCTTGAGTATCAAATTAAGCTCAATTGAATCAGACGAAAATCCAATAAAAAAAAATTACAAATGATATTGTTCTAGATTATTCATAGCAATAGGTACTACAAACGTAATTTTTTTGGTTTTATGAAGGTTATGCAGGCCATGATTTAGACTGGTAGAATGTTCAAGCCACGATAAAACTTGCAATGTTACTTGGGTATTCACGAACATGTTCTGATAAAAATATTATTATTTAACATAATTAGCGGATGAGGTTGTTGGCGCGTGAATCTGAGTATAGATAAAATAAGCGCTGTTGACATACACAAAAAGGACATACATTACTGTGTGCGAAATAAAAACTGAATAATAAAAAAAAGTTATGTGAACGCACTAAATAAAGAAGGAGCTCTGGGCGCACTAGGATAGAGAACTACTTCGGCATTGCAGTTACTATATCGAAGGGTTGTTTCAAATACAGAACACCACTAAATTTGTGCATACTACACCTGATATTGATTTCAAAACTGAAAGTTGTGAATTTTACCATGGCAATCATCCCGAGCAAAGTCTGAGATCAAATTGAAATCTAAATTTGATGTTGTGATTTCGCTGATAATGATTAAGGTGATACTCTAAGGAAGCCTTAGCGTGAAACTTTAAAGGCACAAATGTCAGCTTCCACAAAACACACAAATTTGAAATTGCTACTCCTTGTTTGCTGTGCTAATACGAACTACGAATCTAACTGTTTTCCTGAACGTTGTACACACGAATCGGATTACCTGTTAAGATTCAATACGTGGAGGCATCCAATTCCCACTTATTCACAATAAGTTAACGAAGCTCTGAAATTTCATCACGTTCTGAAAGTAGAACATACTAACATTCAATATTTGAGTTATCAGTCCCATCTTGAAATTCAATCGTCCAGAGGTCATGTTACAGTCCTGCTTTTTGAAGCGCCACATTTTTCGCTGATATAATAAAAACATGCTAGCTTCATGGCAACTAATTTTGACTTGATAAAATTACCGATTAATTTACAATGATTTTTTAAATTTTTGCATGGAAATATAGTACTTCTTAACTTCAACTGCCATTTTCTCAATGCCTACTTTTTCAATATGGGAGTATAGGTAGTGCAGTTCATCGATGACTTTGTTTGCAAACAAACTATGATTATGAACGCGGAAAACTCACAATGTTTGCTTACACTGGACATAACTAGTATCAAGTTCATTACTTCACTTACGGGTTTGCGCCACTTCGTAGTACTCTACTATGCTTAGTCATGTTTCCTTAAATTGACACTCACAAATGTTTTATGTTAAGTAAAGGTGATACGATTCAGAAGTCCGGGCTCTGATGTCACCTCGCATTTTGTAGGGGTCAATTATCTGCTACTGAAAAACATACAATAATAAAACTGCTTTTCCATGTTTGCTACGACGGAGCAAACATGATGATGCAAAAAGCTGGTCAAAATAGAATAATTTTTTTAAGGTTTTCTATGTTGTAGATTTTTTATATGCTTCAATATATGCACACAGTGACAATGGTTGAAATGATGTCTAAGCATTTTGGGCAATGTTTAAACATTTATGTAATATAGAGCTATTTTTTAAAACCAACTAATTAGTAAAAGCCCTTACCAGACGTAAACAGTATGATCAATGATCAATATTAGAGAGTCTAGTAAAAGAGAGGAGCGGATTCAAAACAAACTGCATTGGCAACCTAAGCCTAGGTAAATTCTAGCAACAGTCCCAATGCAGTCAAGATAGGCACTGCTCGATTGGCTCTGGCTTTGACAGTTCGTTTGGCTCAAAACCAGCCAGTTCACTGCTCCTCTCTTTTACTACACACCAGTCAATTAATGAGCCAACTTAAATTTGTATTGATTGTTGGCATTCCCGTGTTTTAGCCGGCGCCGATGGTGCAGTGGTAAGCGTGACTATTTTCTCACCCCAATGGGTCTGCGTTCAATCAAAGCCGAGGTCGGTGGGATTTTTCTGAGGCATAAAAATCTCTGGTCACGTCTTCCTTCGGAAGGGAAGTAAAACCGTTGGTCCCTGCCCATGTGTGTTTGAATGGGTACGCAGGTGTGGAAGCTGCCTTCCTGCACATTCGACTGCCGTCAATGGATGACAATCGATGTCCGTCGGTGATTGGCACTAGATTGCGGAACAGAGACCGACGTTAAATAAAGGAATGAAAATTCCCGTGTTTTATCGTTATTTTCACACATTAAAATAGTGAACTTCTTCAACAGGGGTGGTAGTGCTGATGCGATATAATAGTAGTGACTTTAGTGACTAAAATTACGGAAATGGTGACCAAATAGTGACTTGTAAATACTGAATAAGTAATCATTTATATTGTAACTTAGAAATTCAAATACGGTTTCATATTGAAATAAACTTTTTATGTCATGGAACTTAAAATCAAATTTCATAAATTCCTCTACTTTAATCGAATCTCACAACGGAATCTCCTGTGAAGAGCATTTAAGTGATTTGAATAATTTACTTTTATTTACGTATATACATGATGACTAGCAAATACTAATTCCGATTTTTTATGATCTTGAATTTGGTTCTGCGTTTGAACTGTTTAAAATTTTGATATATCTAGTTAGATAACTTTTATAATTCGATAAGAACTTTTCACAGAAAATTTTTAGAATGATCTCAAGATTTTTTTTAGCATAATCGTTCTTCTCTTAAACTTAGAGGCAAATAAGCTTTTACAAACATAATATTGCATTCTTGAAATTCTTTGCAGAACAATCAACAAATATTCTTGATTATTTTCGTAGTTATCAACATCAAATATCAGAAGTAAAGTGGACATTTTATACGATTGATGAGATGAAAGTAAAGAGTTGATTACTCTGTATTTTGTATATCCAGCATTTTACGAGCGCTTATGGTCGCCACAATCTTTCTGAGTTTTTGGTAGGGAACATATGATTTGACGTTTGGGTTGTGTCGTTTGACTGGTAAACGTTCAAATTTGATCGTTTACACGTCAAACGACACAAGCCAAACTTCAAATCTTATGTTCCCTACCAGAAACTCAGCCAGATTGTGGCGGCCATAAGCGATCGTAAAATGCTGGATAGAAAGTAGAAAGCGAACAATTTTGAGGAACGTACGAATCGGGTAGAGTATCTTCTTTACCAAGCTCATCCGTTAATGAGGGATGGTGAGGGGTGTTTCCCTCTGCCACCACTGGCAAAAGGGATGATCGCCGATTTGCTCATGTACCTCCGATGTGCGGAAACAGTTATATCGATCGTTTCACACTCAAGTCGCCATCTGACGTAAACAACTACTAGCTAAAGGCCTCTTTTGTTTGTTTTTTTTTTTTTTTTTATTATAGTCACTTTAACGCTCTTGGGTCATTCGTGACTTGTCCGGGGGTGAGGTTTGAACTCGTGACTTTGGCGTGAGAGGTATGGATGCTTACCACTACGCCGGGGTCGCCCCCCTAAAGACCTTAAAATTGTCCTTGCTCGCTTTCTACTTTGTATATACACTATTCACACTACCGTACTATAACGGAGCTATCAACTCTATATTTTAATCTCCTCATCTATCATATACAATCTGCACTTTAAGTCTGATATTTGACGTTAAGCATCTCCGACTATGTTAATCGTTAAATTCATGCATGAAGTAATAACATATGATTAGTTAAGGTAGATTATTTCCGATTTTTACAGATTCTTCTAGGAACTTCCTGAAGGCTCCTTCCATAAATCAATTTTAAATTTCTTTGAATTCTCCTTAGATTTTCCATGCGATTAACCTCAGAAATTTTATAAATTTCTGCTTAGAATAAGCTTGGACTCCTCCCCTGCATTCAATTGGAAATTCAATTCGTATTCTCCTTAGAATTCCCATAGTATTTCTTCCAAAATATCAAAACAAAAACCCATCAAAGAATAACTTTGAAACTCTTCCCAGAATTCCTTTGAAATTGAATCATCAAAATTCGATTCCATTGGAAATTCTTCTCGGAATTCGTTTAGAACCATCCGCAGAGAGCATTCTT